GCCTTTTAGTATACATATGAGATGACAGCTATCATGTCTGTATATTGTCTTTGACCGCAGTACCGCAAGCTATTAGCATATAATAATACATCATTAGAAGCAGGTAACGAGATAGCCTAAAACGAACCGGCCATTGAAGCGGTCAGCGCACCGTTCGCCATAACTATTCATATATATATATATATATAAAGCTTAAAAAGCTATAAAAGATATAAAGCTTGTTTTTATAAATACGTAACAAAATTTACGTGCGCGGTCATTCGAACGTTGTGAAATTATTGAAATATGCCGCCTTCCGGCGAAATATCTTTTACTTTAATAATAATAATAAGACTAGCAATAATAATAACTCGTAGCGAGTTTTGCTTTCAATGATGAAATAATAATTAAAAAAATGATAAAAAAATACCAACAATAAAATAACATTTGTCAAATGTCTAAATTTGCAGTAGAAATTATATAGAAGACCGTATCTGTCATACTACATGATCTTGTTACTAGCACTCGGACATTGAAATACATAACAAATCATATTCCGCAGAATGGTCCCATAGTTAATTTAAAAGATAAGTTCTTCAAGCTAACATGCTATAAATTATGGAAGGTGCAATAGCTCGAACAATAAAAGTTTTTTAGGTCTTAACTGTTAACATATAAAGTTTCTTATCTTTATAACTCAAAATATTGATTTTCGTTGTTAGTAATTTTCGCTCTAATAAACATAAATCTCAGCCAAAAAGAATCACTCAGTTCTATTCCCGTCTCACCAGTCCAAAGCATAGGTTTATGTCGAAAGTTATTTAACAGAGCCTGACGCTTACAATGGCTATTGTGTAAGTTATTGTCTGATGATGCCATATGGATACTACGGAGTGCAGTAGTTCTATCATCTTATTATGCTAAGCAACATGTAAAGTAACATGATTGTCATAAAAATCTAAAGTTGCTCGTGGTTGTATTATGCAATTATATGATTTCTATCTGCAGCATCAGTAGGTCGACTGAATAAATTACACACAACTTTTTTTACATCTTAAACAGCAACAACTGGTGAATCACTTACGTAATCTATGAACAAATCGTAAGTTTTGAAAAAGTTTCAATCTAACACTCACTAAAACACGTTGAACGTTTGAGCAGGCTTCTCCTGTCTATTACGCTCGGAGTGGTTACCATTCTTACAGATTAGGACCAAGTTGAAATTTAACTATATTCAGCTTTTGATTTCGCTGATGCCCTGTCAATTTACCTTGCGTAGATTGGGTCCACCCAAGTTCGAAGAACTGCATCGTCATATAGTGCATATAGTTTTTTCACACACGCAAGACATAACATCTCACGACTCGCAAACACAATATCAGTGATGTACATCTAGTTATGAAGTAAAACAATCAATGGATTATGTTTCTCATAGGTTGTTTCGTTTAACTGGTTGTACGTACATCTAATGTCGTTCGAAAACCGTGAGACAGGTCAAATATATATAAACCATGAATTACAATGTTCCATTTTAAACTATTGGATTTGTACTACCAATTACAGTGGCAAATTAGAAAAGAAAACCGCGCTAAGCACTAGTCGGTTACTCCGTTGGAAACATAGAATTAACATGTGTAACAACTTATGTGATGTATAGATGTAACGGACACTTTTTATAAGAGCTATCACAAGCTCTGCATAGCTTCTAAATATCATTCGACGATAGTTTCTTTCTTGTCTAAGCCCGTTAACGAACCATGTCACAGTCTCCTACTCTCTAGAACACTGAAAACAACAGCCGAATATCCTTGCTCGTTATGAAAAGCAATATTCCTTTATCCTAGTATTAAAGCCCCAGCATAAGGATAGCCATTAAGAACAATTTATAACTGAACGGATTCGAGAAGATGATTCTGTGACCTTTTTGAAATCCGACCAGCACTGACACGCATATAAATACGTGCCAATGAAAGACTATACGCCTTTCACAAATTTGGTATACACGAATATACTCAGACCCACAGACACGCACACTTTTCTCCTTCTCAAAGATACTCACCGAACGAAGGCCGAATGCAGATTGCTTAGTTGGCGGGTACAGAACGTATCGCATGAAGCGGGCGATAGGCGGAGGCAGGGGCTTACAAGTAACTTGCTACAGGATATGAACCCTTCTGTTGCTAACAAGGCTTCAACGAAAAACCTATGCGCCGACCCGCCTTAAAGATCTCGAGCGGTTCCGCTGGCGTACATTCCGTATGTACATATATCTGTTTTTACGATTTGATACACATCAATAGTTCCCGTTTTTTCTACTGCGTCAGGAAAACTGAATTAATTTCTATTAGGTAACCACTGCCACCACCGACAATGTATATCTAAATATTATCGGCTGGCAGCTTTGTGAAATAAGTTCGTATGAAGGCAACTAATAATTAAGTGCACGAGATTTTCTTGCACATTCAGATGTCACTCGCTCGCATTTCGTTATTAGACCGTATTTATCACTCGGCTAATCACTTACCAATAAACCCGAATTGTATAACGTGCAGACATTTGCGAAGCTGATACCGGTACCATCTGTCGTTAAGACTACAATTTGAATTATAAGCCATATGAAATAAGTTAAAGCAAAACAGGTAATATTACTCATTATCTTATTTATTAGCGAGTTTTTTTGCGATCAGATGGCGAATGTGTTAAGGCGTTGTCCTACAGAGCAATACCCACTCGATAAAAGCTTAAGCCTAGACCAGGATAATCCATGGACGTCCTTATAAGGATCCTTGTCACTATAGAGAACGCAGTAAAAAGAAGATGAAAAGCCAGATAATTGGAACAAAACTTTGTTCCAACTATGTTACTGCCACGTATTAAACTAGTAGGCCAGTTTTCGTAAAAGTTTGCGTAAAGGCCGCGCTTGTTAGACGAACCGAAACTAGAACATATTACGCTTACGTTTTAAGAATAACTCAGTGTCAGATATAACTACAGCATTGGACTTTATGTACATGTACGCTGGCGACATTGTTTGCATTTCCTAATATGCTAACCATACATTCTTTATTCGTACTTTTGGCTAATGCGAAATAGAACGAGTACAGGGGAATGCTTAACTTTACATATAAATAGCCTTCGTTACTGATTTATGTTCATATGGAGAATTAAGCTTATATAAATCTACATATGCTTTTGATAGCCATTTTTCATTACCGTAATATGTGATTTACAATGTATGATACAGCATGGCATCTATGATATGTTGTAAATATGGTTTATTTAATCAGCGACCTGAGTCAACCGGCATAAGTATTGCCTAGTGATCGCCTATCCTAAAGGTATACTCTGTCCCTTACGATAAAGGCGTATTTTGATAGGATTTTTTCAAGATATATCATAGGCCTCAGAAATCGGGAAAAAAACCAAGCTTGGCGAGCATTATCATCTTCACTGCTACAACACTTCTGCAGGCCTCTTTGCTAATGCGATGTATATAAGGGTAAACGTAACATCCGTCCCGTAGATAAGTTAGTTACGAAAAACATGAAGCTCTAAGAAAGTGTCACAGTGCTTTACTCGAGGATGCTATTAATTTGACGTGGTTAGGGGTTATGCAAGTAGAAGACTCTCGTCATGGCTATAGAAGTACAGCCGAATTTATTACCTTGTAGTGCAGTAGCCACTCAGTAAAAAGTTAGGCCAAGGCCGAAGGATTCCACGGATATCGTTATGAATATTCTTGAAGGAGAAGATGAAACAAAACCAAATACACACATACAGAGGTTGCGCGGCTACGAGGCCGAGCGCCTTTATTTCGTGGCCTTCATAGAACCACTGCTTTATGTCGAGAACTACCAAGGAAAATGTTAGACACTGAAGCTGGTTTTGAAACCTTGCATTTGTGCTATTTTATAGCTCTCTGTAATGCACAATACTGCGATGAATGTATTGATATGTGAAAGAGCGTTCCGTAATCTTTCACCTATCAGCGTTCTCTGTAAGACGGTACTTAGATATACTATTCAAAATTTAAATACAGTATTGGAGTTGTAAAGGCAGTTTTTATGTTACGTAATTTCAGTTCAACGCACTTTCGCACAGTTTTCATCAGTACATCAGATGGTACATGAAGCTTTTCCTAACAAGTATGAGCATATACGAGAGCTATGTGTGAAGCTTACAATTAGAGCACTTTGTATATCTTTTAGAGCCAGTATAGAGTTTCAAATAGTCTCTGAAATTGTCCAGACCTCCACATTTATTATATCTTTAGTTCTAACCTTAATAAGTAATTCTAACCTTTAAATTCTCGATTCACAATTGAATATGAATTGCTTTGTTGCAAAAGACCCACTGTATATATATATATATTTTTTTTATGTAGAAGTTAAGTAAAAATATGGTAAATGTACGTAAAAAAAATAATTGAAGTCTCTATGAGTACGATTATCAGTTCATCGATATAATTATCAATACATTTAGATACGATTACTACAGAAGCTTCAGACGAAAAATGCGATGAAACTAGAGTTCATATCCACTAATAGTTTTGGCACAAAGAAAAACAATTAATAAAAAGGCGACTTTAGCCAAGGTGGATCTCGGCTATATTGCATGAAAACTTTACGAATGCATACTTTTATAATATCCCGAATTATTACTTACTTATTATTGCAGTAAACAGGTTAGCTATATTCCGCCGTTGAAGTTTTAAGACCCCCTAAATAGTTTCAAACAACCTCATATCTATTATGGAGTAAAATTCAGAAGAATAAGTAAAAGGAGGTGAGTATTCTAGGTACATCCAATATAAACTTAAAAAATGCAAGAAAAAAAATCTCCACTTTCTCGATATTCGATATTTATACGAATTCATATATTGAACATACTTACGAACGTATGTAATTGTTTACCGACTTTTGAGATCGCTACTGACTAAAACCCGTAATCTATAATAGGTTAGTATCATTAGTACTAGTAAAACATAGGAACTTTATATCTATACAAGAAAGACGCAGGCGTGATGAAATCATTCAAATGTTTATATATTCAGACAAGGCACCTAGAACTGTTTTTTTCTCAGTTACTAAAGGGAAAGTATTATTATACCTTTAATGTAACTTATAACTTAATGTGCTGATAAGTTTATATAAACTTATCAGCACTCAAGCTACTTAGCGTCTACTAGCATAGACAGTTTTGCTCACAGCAGTAAGCTTCTTGGTAAGGACCGCGGCGTAGAATAATGTGAAAGTTTGCACTGACAGTACCCCGAAGATACTAGAATGACGAGTCTTTTTGCATCTACTACTTTGCCACAGGATTCTCCAATAACACCGTACCAATGCGATTTTCGAGACATGCATTTACAAATTTACAGTTGGGTTCATCCAATGGGGTGAAGCATTTTCGGTGCCTTTCAGTTGTTTTAGTCGTTCTGACCCCAAATCGTTTTGACCTGCGGACTTTTCAAGCAGAATGGTGAATTTCTTGCCGTTTATATCTGCTTTGACGAATTTGCATGACGGCACTTTACTGGCTAACATTTCACTGGTTACCCACTTCTAGTCGTCGGAAGATTTTGAGCAGGCTTTTTTAACATCATCCTTGACAGTAGTTTGCTGCTCCATCGTACGTTTTGTTCCTTTAGGTAATCCAATTACAACGGTCAATTTGGCATCCCTCAGCTCCCGGGTTTCTTGTTCGACCAGATCAAGCTCGTTGTCAAACTTATTAATCAGCAAAGGTGTTTTCAATGTGTTCCTTATAAACTCGCTATGACTTTCGACAACTTTGCCCACAACGCTGTCAGCGGGCTCTGCGGTGATATACACACTAATTGGATCAGTAGGTACAAGGTGGGCTTTCTTACGCAACTTTTGGATACGATTGATCACTTCACGAGCCAGTCCTTCGTTGATCATGTTCTCATCAGGCAGGATGTCTAGTAAAACTAGCACGTCTCCCTCTGAATGAGCTTCATACCTTTCGATAGCCTGACCCTCGAACGAGTATTGTACTCGGATGTCACCTTCCTGTAGAGCCTCTCCGCATACTACCAACTTCCCTCCTAAAAGATGATTTTGTATGTCAGCATCGCTAAGAGTTCGGATGGCATTTCCTACTATTTTGGATTTATTTCGCAACCTAAGGCCTAGTGCTTTAATATCTGGCTCGGCCTTCATCGACACACCGAACAACTGCTTGTCTTTGCTAGGTGTTAGCTTTTTCACGTTTAGTTCTTCCAGGATATAATTTTCCATGACCTTCAAATCATTGAGGTACTCATCCTCTCTCTGAATAACGACAACTTCCATGAGAGGATACTTTAGTGGCAGAGCATTGCGATCCCGAAGAACTCGACCCAACTCAATGACAGTTTGCATGCGAACTACTCTTCTTTCAACAGTGCTGTCAATGAGAGATTCATCTACTTCAGGAAGCATCAAATAATGAATTGAGTCCTTAACTTCATCTTTCGGTAGGAACGATTTTTGTCTTTGATACATGAACTCAGTGAGGAACGGTGTAAAAGCTGCCATTAGCCTGTTAAGGATAAAGAGAACCGAAAAAAGAGTTTGCAAACTCTGCAGGCAATCCTCCTTGCCATCGTTGCCTTTTAGTCTTTTACGATTCATACGAACGTACCAGTTAGTTAGATTATCAATATACTTGAGTAGGCGTGGAACAACAGTGTACAGCCTGTATGCTTTCATTTCTTGCTTCACGAAGCTAACAAGACTATTTGAGTACGAAAGAATCCATTTATCCATTGTATTAGTTATTTTCTTAGGCTCCTTGAACTCAAATTTGTTTCCATTTGTCTTTTCGTATAATGCAATGTTTTGCAAGAGAAAGCGGAACGCATTATACCATGGCAAAAAAACATCTTTGAGAATGTCACGTACTCCCTCCTCCTTGAATCGAAGGTTTTCAGCTTTTACAGCTGGCGAGTTAATAAGATACAGCCGAAGAGCATCAGCCCCATACATCCTGATAATCTCGGTAGGGTCGGGGTAGTTTTTTTTGCGTTTGGACATTTTCTGGCCATCAGACGCTAGCACAAGGCCGTTGCAGATGAGATTTTTAAATGGCGCTTTGCCAAAGAGTGCTGTACTCAACACCATTAACGTATAGAACCAGCCGCGGGTCTGATCAACGCCTTCAGCTATAAAATCAGCTGGGAACCAATTATCAAAGTCTTTTTTGTTCTCGAACGGGAAATGCTGCTGAGCGTAAGGCATCGAGCCAGACTCAAACCAGCAGTCAAATACTTCCGGTATTCTTCTTAGAAAACCTTTGCCCAGGCGCGAAGGAATTTCGATGTCATCTATAATTTCCCGGTGTAGGTCCGTGACCTTCTGGCCACTAAGTTTCTCGAGTTCCTCAATGGAGCCGATGCAAATAATTTCCTCTGCATCGTCAGATATCCAGAGCGGAATAGGCGTTCCCCAGTATCGGTTACGAGATATAGCCCAATCACGAGCTTGGCGAAGCCAGTTGGCAAATCGTTTGTCCTTCACGAAGTCTGGTACCCAATAAGTTTCCACATTGGACGACAGGAGCCTTTCGCGCATATGTTCTACGCGAACGAACCACGAAGGGATAGCTCTGAAATCATGTAATGAAAATACATTAGATTCTGAAGCAAGTCATTGCTTGGAAGCGCATTTTATTACATTCGGTACAGGAAAAACTTTGTCAGGAGGAAAGAAAAATAGCTGATTCTGGTTTCGCCTGGGCACTTATTTCGTCGTATCTTCGCTACCTCGAAGCACGTAATGCATCAACCATCCGATCAAGCTTATTATATAAGCATCTATAATATATAGTGTTGTCATTACAATAAATATATAGACCATATTGCAGTGATCTAGTTTGATTACTTTATAAACCCTAGCACTACAAACAGGGTGGATTCTGTTAAATATACATATCTATGTACAAAACAAGCGAGCAGTCGGTGCGTCCTGTTATTTTTCAAGTCCTGTACCTTCTACGAAAATGCCGAATTCAAACCTATTTTTTACAGCGGAAGATTTTTGTGTACACTAAGCAGACTTAACTACCCCATATAACATAAAAGCTGAGTACATGATATGAGAATATATGTATAAAATTATATATAAGCAGAACTTGTTGGCGAATATCTATTGCATTATCTCACCTGTAGAGGAGCGGTGTATCAGAGCGCCAGCAGAAAGGATAGCTGTGCTTGATTGTGCCAGCTTGCACAAGCCGTCCGAGCTTTTTGAGATGAGCAATAATCTGCTTATCTGCGTCCTTGACGTACATTCCCTTAAAATCGACGACAGGATCAACAAAGTGGCCTGATGGGTCCAACGGGCACACTATCTCTTGATTTTTCGTAATAACACCATTTGAAAGACAGATCCTATCAAGAACAGCAGAAGCAACGGAAATTTAAATCCGTTCAAAAAACAAAAAGCTTTTCAATACATAGGTGTAATCTTAACCTTTTATACGTAGCTATATTTTTATTAATTAGATGGCAAATGGATTAATAACGGTCGTTAAAATACTTTTTTTTGTAAAATTCACAGTAAAAAAAAACAGTTTTTTACAGTTTTTTCCACTATGAAGTACCTGAAATCGTCTTCTCCGCAGTATGGCGACTGGTGGACAACACCGGTACCGTTGTCCTCTGTAACATATTCGTCACAAAGTACTCGAAAAGCTCCTTGCTGCTTCAAATGTGCGAAATAAGGAAGCAGCGGTTCGTAGCCTTTATTCTTAAGAGTTTTACCCTTAAACTTTGACAGAACTTTATAATCATCTGCCTTTTTAAACAGCTCTGACAGGCGACATTCCAGAAGAATATACTGAGCTTGAGTTGCTATTGCCTCCACCTAAAAGTAGCATAACCGAAGAGGATAAGCGGAGAAATATGTGGAAAATTAAAATCATTAAGCCGATCAATTCAACGCTACTGAATTGCACGGCATCGTATTATTATTAACTAAATTGTTTACTGCGGCAACTGTTAGGTCCATTAAAGCCTATAGCAACGTCAATAATGTTAATAGACAACAAAAATTATCCATATTTGGCGAAGACGGAATACACACAACCAGATACACATATTTTTGGCCAGGGTTAAGCACTAGCTGAAGCTGTAATATACCCACACTAACCTGGACATAAGTGAGTTCAGGGTGCACGCAAACCGCGAGGTTGCTGGGTAATGTCCAAGGGGTAGTCGTCCAAGCCACAAGTGAAACTTGTGGATCTTCGTCTAAGGGGAAGGAGACGACAATAGCCGGGTCCAAAACTTCCTTATAGTTCTGACCAGCTTCGAAGTTTGATAAAGGCGTATTGCAAGCGGTAGAGTACGGCATCACTTTAACGCCTGCAGGTATTATCACATGCAAAACGTTAATAAAGACAAACCAAAAGCGTGGTGTTGTTTTGTATACTACATTCCATTACGTCATTATAGGTTCTTCATTCGCCATAATAAAGCAACACTAAAAGTGATCATTTACACAATCGTAGGATGAAGCTCGTGTACATATCAGAGTCGTGCATAGATCAAAAACGAAGAAATGGAGAGTGGCGGCATCTGAATGTAATAAAAATTTAGATACACATTGGACACTTTTAGTGTCATGAAAGATACGGGTCTCTGTCATAAAACTGGAATTTCTGTTTTTGAAACTTTATTTTCGAATAATAGCACTAATCACCCTCGTCGGGCTTTTCAAGATTTTTCGACTGACTTTACTTGAGCTGGCCCCATGGGACAGATTAGCTTAGTAATCGCATAGAAAGGCCACACCTTTATAGACGAATCCTTTGTTATATAGCTGTTTGAAGATCCACCAAACGCTTTCCATATATGAGGGATACATAGTTTTATAGTCATTGTCGAAGTCTATCCATCGGCCGAGTCTTGTTACTATTTCACGCCATTGAGTAGAATACCTCATTACGATCTTTCTGCATTCATCATTATAGGCCGTGATGCCCATCCGTGCGACATCTTCGGGTCCTTTTATCCCCAACGCCTGTTCGATGAATATACAACTAACAATTTATTAATAGATATTCGGTTGTACATCAATCTTTACCTCCTCGCTAAAAGTGTTTCTTAAAAGCGTTGCTTAGCTTAAAGAATCTGTAACTAAATTTTCATAATAATAAGCATGCTTTCTCCCCCTTATTTACTTCATAGTAGCGCTACACGATAAGCTGTTTTTTAAATGCATGAACTCAGTTATGGGAAGATTGGTGCGGTATAACACGATCTTTGCTTTGGCATTATTGATATGCTTTAAGCTATAACAGCGTAAGTAATTATGAACTATCATTATGTCACTATATAGTTTTACACGATACAGCAGTATATAGTATTTCAATTGCGAACAATTACGCATGGACGCAACACGTAATTGCCCATGTGCAATGCAGGACGCATATTACATGAGACTGTAAACCGTACCCGACTAACAACTAATTCTATTAGCGATATATATACATATAAGTATTGTTCAATGTGCATACAACGTAATTAAAAATGGCAATACTCGTACAATCATCAACGACAGACACCTTGTCTATTTCGTGCTCAACGGGAAGTCCATGGCAATCCCATCCGAAACGTCGATCAACGTGAAATCCGCTTTGGTGCGCGAAACGCGGAATGATATCCTTAATGGTCCCTGCCAGCAAGTGGCCGTAGTGTGGAAGACCGGTCGCGAATGGGGGTCCATCATAAAATGTAAATCTGAGATAGAGATACAGACAATTTAAGCAGAACCATAAATAAACTTATTTTCAATTCCGCCCAAAACGAGTATAAAATTAGGGACACTTATTAGGACGAACAGATGAATAGAACTAAGTTACGTTCTATCTGGTCACATAAAGCTGAGGCTGTGAATCCATGATGCTGCTGAAACATCATGCATCATTGCGTCAGCCAGATTTAATGACGTTTGCCACAGCAATGTTAAACCCAACTTATAAGTTGTACTCAGGTTATAGAGACGCCATAATAGCAGCTTTCAATTACAGGTTCGACTATAGTTTCATCGTTTTTCATCTGAAACGATTTGAAGTTACCTTGGCAATAACGCTTCTATTAAAAAGTAACCCTAGACAACAAGACGCGACTAAAATTTCCTATATTCAATATAATTATAAAGTACACTCTTGCTTTGTTTTATATTGCTCAACATTTAAGCGATATTAGATAAATACTTGTTAAATAAAATATCTATATACCTATATACTCACATGCAGAGCAGGTTAAAAAAACTTTGTTCTGAGTGAGTCCCAATTTATGGCTAGTTGTAAACCCCACATACTAATACACATGGGCTCTTCGGATGCTATGTAGTACTGCTATTAATAACATCAGATATATAAAATCGAATAATTCATACCTGGACTTTCCTTTCGATTGCTTAAGGCATGTCTTAAATGCATCGATCTTATTCCAAAATTCTAACGTATTTTCTTCCTCGTCAGGAAAGTCAATTTTCTCTGGCAGTTGCTCCATGCTGAGGACGAAGCCTCCTGCTCTGGCTTACTTATTTCAATTGACTGTTCTGCCTGTCCACGAACGAAACAAGTATACACGTTTCTAAAAACCAAATCAGAAATGTCTATGCTATACTGTGAACGTCTCTTATAAACGTGGTGAGATCAGCAGAGCACTACGATAAAATCTTGGAACAGGGCGCATGTAGTGCTGGAACATAAAAGTGCGATATTTAGTGGAAGCGGTTCCGTCGTTTAAGGCTTGAATACACTATACCAATATTGGGGGTCTGCCGTTCACTACGTTTTAGGAGTAGTACGCATAAAACATTTCTGCTAGTAACGATTTCTAAAAAACTGCTATCATATACGAATGTTCGTGAAATGCATGCATGGTAGTCTGCATAATAGCTCTGCGAACTGAGTGCATGCCGGATATGAAAAAGCAGAAACTCAAAATGGCCAGTTAATCAAATAATTTCTGGTTCTACCGATTGGCCTCGTGCGAAGACACTATAGTTTGTCTGCGAAGCCAACGCTAGAAATTCAGGTAATGCTGGATTACTCTTACCAATGACTGACATTGTTCTCCTTTAAAGGAAAATCAAACAAAAAGGTACCATCCATTACTTTCTCTACGTTTATTGATTCCAGCCTGGTTTTTTTTTATTAGTTTCAGATATGATCAGTTTCTTTGGCGATCACTAGTGAATCATTAATCAAATCTTGGCAAACGTGTATCTAACGAATTCTAAAATTATATTTTTGAATGTTGCTTCTTGGTATTAATTCTTTAGGTTGGGAAAATAAATGGACTTGGACTAAATAGATAATCTCTATACAACAACACCTATAAAAGCTAGTTTAAATTTCATTCTCATCTAATTCTAATCCGCTTTGATTATAGCCATATGATCGATTCGATAGCTCCGAATATCTTTGCAGAAGCTGTATCCTCATCGACTATAATTAAAAAGAGGTACCGGATGTTTCCTACGTAGTGTGACTTTCAAGCAATAAATGCTGGTCGTATAACACGAAAAACACTGTTAAGCGTTTAAGCGTAACCAATATGATGGCCTGAAGGGCCAACGCTTTCGGCGAAAAACATCAGAAGTCGCTGATTCGATTATCACACATACAACTACACGACCAGTGTGAATAAAGAAAACTGTTTAACGTATCAACGACAATTGGTGTGAATTTACATACAATACGCTGTTGTCAACGGATGACACTTTTTTTTATTCTCGCCGCATAATCTAGATTAATCGTCTAGGAACAGGTGCCATCCACACATTCCCTTGCTGATTATACGTGATAAACAAACATCGTCGTCAAGCTTTTTCCATTACGCTCCCTTTGTCTTGGAAGCTCTCCATGAGTCATTCCAGAATACATAAATATCCCAACATTTCTTTACTAGAAGTACTACTTCTTCTGCTTCAGTATGACAGTATGATCTCGAAGAGCCGGAATGAACCGCGCCTCTTAAAAGCCTTCCCGTGACGGCATTCCGGTGTAGCCCATGGTTAGATGTAGATCGGTGCATTGTTACATTCGTGCCTGCTCATGTTCGCTTGCCGACTGTGTTTCATTTAACTGTTATTTAGAGAGGCGGCCCTAGGCAGCAGTTCCGTTACAGCGCAGACTTTCGTTCGATACTGTGATCTTCGTTGGTTAGCAGTGGTACGTTGTAATAGTGGTTGTAGCAGCAGCTGCACTTATGCCGTCCTAATTTGCCGAATGTTGACAACATTGGAATAACAGCGACTCATTGTTCTCGAGTGATGAGGGTGTGTGGCTGTGCCTCGACGTTGGAAACACCGCTGTGCAAATCTGCGAAGCTGTCGCCCGCCTTTCTGCAAAGTGACTGAAATTTCCTTGCGCAAGTGTTGTTCGAAGACTGATGATAGTGGCTATAGCAACGGTGTCTGTATCGATTTGGGTAAAGACGGTGCGCGAGAACCCCTGTCAGATTGGGCCCCATCTGTTGTACGTGTTCTACGACCAACAAGTGCAGTAGCTTTACGAAAATGCTTGCGATGAGCGACATGTATGGGCTATTACTCGAACAGCTGACTGACTGGCTAAGCTGGCAGAGTCGAGTACAAGAGTCAGCCTTGGGCACGGATAGGTAGACGCCTTAGGTGGTTTCTGTTCTGGCCATAGAGAAGATGATAAGGTGTTGTCGAAATAGATGTCGGTCCGATGCTTGTAAATGCCAACAAAGTAATTAGACTTCAACTGCTAATTGAGTATGGTTCAGCTCACCTTCTAATGAGTGGGCGTCTTGTGAGGGGGGCGGATCTGTTATTCTGTAAACGCTATTACGTATAAAAATAGTTGTAAAAATATATATAAAGATTTCTAAGATTCTTAACAAAAGCTTGCTAAATATTTGCTATAACACTAACATAACATATAGTTCGAAGTTATCGGAGTCCATGGGGGAAAAACTGAAATTGTTGGGTGCTCATAAAAATTGCACGCATAAGTGGAAATCAATCTATCTCAAGTTCTCGTATTATGTTCACAGAATGCAGAAAAGCATCAGGAGCCAGAGCATCGAATGGCATCTCGTAGTAATCAGGAGTGCCAATGGAAGTCGATCATTTATTTCTAACGAGAATAGTGGTGTACCCGTGCAGTTGTGTTCTGCTCATAAAATTATTTTATCGACATACGGAGGACAAAAATTGCCATTTGGCGAAACCAAAAAATTAGGTTGACCTGACGACCGATCATTCAAGACAATGGGGATACCGCTTTGTGTTCATTTTCCTGTGCTTACGCGTATGATCATGATCAAACAATAAGCCCGCGATTTAATAGAGTTTTTATAACTAATGGGTAACACTATTTTCATTTGGCTTTGAGGTATACTTGCCCCTATTGTGGTAGATATTCATAACAATTCAAAGATGTTCTGTTTAGGGTTATCAGATTAACAGAATTAGGCAATTAAACTTATATTTAATTAAACTGTAAAAAAAAGTCGAAAAATCAAAAAGGGAAAATAAAACCAATGAATCATAGACTCATTCGAAACAAGATAATTAGAAATTAAAAAAAGGTGAGTGTATGTTCTAGTTACTATTGTCTTGAAATATTAGTTCAATTGAAAACTTTGAGTAGTTGCAGTAGAAGTGAGGTAGTCTACTTCTTTGATGGCCGGCTTAATGAATTGTATTATCCTAAGCGTATTAATATGATAGCATTGGCTTTCCTATTGCCTTTTGTACTATGCGTGAAATATGGCACGGTACAATAAACGCGCAGTTGCATTTTATAAGGCAAATATTATCAAATTAAATACATAAAAATCGCTATTCACATTGCTACATGCATCTTTCCACGTCTTTGAAATACTTTGAAATACGTTATCCCCTCTTGAAATTGTTTATCATATATATTGATGCATTATGTTGCATAAACTCTGGTACCGAAAACACTTCCTTGTCATTTCGCAAAGCATTCTATGTAATGAAAGTATTTTAGTCATAATTTTTGTCCGGCTTACTTCAATGACAAATGATGAAGCGTTTGTATTATTATTACATTTTATTAATGAATTGTCGTATACGCTCAAATGTTGACATCTTCAAGACGACCAGTCGATCAAATTTATCTAGCATTAGCTAGTTCAGATATGACAGTCGCTGTGTTCGCATAAGTTATGCATAAGTTAAGCATAAGAACGGCAGTACTATTTAAAGCTATAGTGCTATAAGAAAAGTAAACAAATAACTAAACAATTTATTCAGTAGTAGCACGTTGTCATAGCTTTATCAGGTCAGGTCCAAGGTGTCATCTGAAAATTAAATCCGATCTGACATGGATATAAGTTGTATATATACTTCAGCTTTCAATGATTACCCAAAACTGGTAAGCTGTTACGACATTTGGAAAATGACCGCCCGTGCTGTTTTCATTATTTCTATATAGCACTTAATATTATCTGCGCGTTGCGATATAATGTTTAATCGATTAACAAGGATCAATATGTGACTGTTAGGTGTTAATCGTAAAATTCGGCATTGACAGCTTTGGCTAAAATACAGGAAACGGATCCATTATGTATTAACACGGCTATCCTTATTAACCCTCTTCCTCGGCATGGCTAAGTGTGATACCCTAGAAAAATTTGTGTTTACATGAGTAAACTGTCAATTTTGCACAAAAAAAGTTTTATGACTAAAAGGACGATTAGAAATAGAGCGATCTACATTGACCAGTATCTTTCATTTTTCGTGGTTATATGGGTTACGTTAATGGCCTAAATATCATCAAATTTTCAGTGCACTACTAAATAGGCAACAATTATTAACGTTATCACGATGGGCGCATGTAAGGACAAAAGAGCGTAAACCGAAACTGTGATTCACTCGATAATATTTTTGTTCTTACTTGCTTACGGGTACGTCAAACTACTATGACACAGGTTCGAATTTCTGAACCGAATTCTGTGACATTATGGGTTCCAGCCTTTTGGATACATTAAGTCGAATTTGAGCAATGATGGATGACATCTGCATCATAAAAAAGATGGTTGGAAGTCCGTAACTGACAAACCTCTAGGAAACCGATCGTTACATTGATTACATTCTCAGAAACATCCCAAACATATTTATCACAAAACTGCCAATTACTAAATATATAACGTATAAAATAAAACCTTTAACGGGCTCAAGGGCAGCTCTCTAAGTTAACGAACTCCAAACTTAGAAGATCATTTTAACCGGCTCCGAGTGTTTAAACTTGGCAGTCCATAACTACTAAACACGATGCATAATGTGGTAATCATATAAGTTTCTTTTTTTTTTAAAATTCTAAGCCTGTGTCTTTGAATAGTTGTAATAATCAGTGATAATATAATTAGTTGTATATGGTTCTGAGCCTTCTAATGTCTATTCTAAAATAAATTTTAGGGTATTAAAATAACACTTGCAACCTGTCGTGTGACATTTTTTTTTCATTTAATCGTTTTTCTTTCAAGCAAGTACCATTTGCCCTTGTAAATCTTTATAAGATATAAGGCCGTATCGACTAATCAGAACAGGAACTAATCAATCGAAGTATATGGATTTATAATTTTAATATGCGTGTAAACGATATATAAAATATAATAAAGAATCCCGTTTAAAATTAAAAAGAGACTATCCTCAAGGAATGATGAATGAACAGTCTTTGAGCGTCACAGGTGAAGAATATAATTAGGCTGTTTTTGACGCAAAAGTGTAATAGGATGTATTCCATTTGCAAACTTTAACGTCGCATAAAAGAATCATACGAGTCTCTTTGTTGTGGCATACATTCCCTTAAAGTTAGAATGATCTAAAGGTTAAGAGTATAGCTTAGCTTCCAACGTCCAAACTAATGCTTAACCAACATTCTACATAATAAACCCAGAACAACTTATATTATTATTAACAACAACACTTAACTTCATTTTTGACGTAATAAGCTCGCGTTACGACATCAACGATCAGTGACTGGATAACTTTATGGCTTTTTATGTCAAAATAATTCCACTACCGTAAACTATAGCAAAAAAATAAAGGAGATTTCGAGAGTTATATATCAGTCATACATTAATTAGGAAGCAAGGATCATTGTGCCCATGATAGGACATCATGTGCCTAGTGTCGAACCTTCACAATTTCATTACACAAGATTTTTAAGTTGTGCCAATAGGTGATAAATTATACTGAGTTTCAGATGTTCCTTTACTTCATAGTGCTCATGTGTTTCTTGGAATTTTGTCGATACTTTTTCAATATCAACGATTATTTCAATGACCTCAACAGTTGTTTTTTAAAGATTTTTCCACGACGTACTGTCTTTATTTTTTAATATTTTTTGAGAGGACTTTTTTAATGATGGTACTGTTATTGTATAAAAGCTGTTTAAAGATATTCATATGTATTATTGGTCACATAGTGCTTGCATCGATGACGGGTGAATGTTTCGAATCCTACATCTGCCATTAGGTATTCCATCAGCCGGTAGCTCCCAGCACCAAGTGAAGTGTGTCTTTACCCGAATCTAAACCTAGAACCACTACGCATCCCTAAGATTAACAGGCACACATGTTATTTCTCGGCTCGTTGCTTTGATCCCCTGAGGCCTTATTAAACACGGGTTCATGTGTGCAGGATTTCTTTGTTTGTGCAAACTAATCTAGTGTGTTCTTTTGCGTCATTCATGTGTATCTAATAATCATTACCCAAAACAACTGTAACAATCTTTATCGCGTTAGCTAATACGGGCGCCACCAAGTATTGGAAAGAAAAAAAACACGTCTCTTCTTACTCCGACCCAGATTCCACCTTTTGGTTCTATAGTTTATGGGAAACTTGTCTCTAATTTAGCTCTTAAGTTGGTATCCTGATTATCACTTGTTCAGGTTCCTAACTGTCGTAGATTACAATTCTTTTCGCACTACGCGTAAGTACACAAGCCTGTAGCCAGGAACATAAGGGCTAGGAAATTTTAGTATTTGCCAGAATGTACACGGAACTTTTGTTTTTTCTTTGAAGTCTTTGCAGACCAATTTACTTATTTCCATTCGACGATGTCCACAAAACTAAATAACCCCCATTTTAAGAAATTATGCATATCAATAGAGAAAAATGTGAAAGCATTACTCTTTTCTATACTGGACCTTTTATCGTCCCGCTCCATGCGTTGGGCATACCATCAATCTACACGGATTGGCTCTGTTTCTAAGTCGAAGATATATTTTTTTGGCTATTTTTACCTTGAAGTAGTTAAGACTGTCCTAAATTAATAAACAAACTGATCTCAAATAAAAAAAAACTGTAACATCCTTTTCATTTTAAATAGCGTCAGCCACATTACCGTAACAAATGTATTGGCTCTTACTCAAGGATATGGAAAAATTGAACATTTCATTTCTTTGAAAAACAAACTTGAAATTAATTGGACTGATTCTCGCCCAGACATCATCCGGTTTGACATACACACATGTATTTGCATTTACATATTTATAAAAATGTCTAATTGTTATAAAATTGTGCCCAATAAAAGGGAGGAGTCAAATAATGGATTTTACATTCATTAGAAGTTGCGTTTGCTATAACCAATATATATGCGTATATATAGATATTATAGCTAAAGATCGGCGTATAGCTAAAGTCCGACGTATAGTCATGATAGTTCTAAAAATCATGTAGTTGGCTTGGTGCGCATTATTGATGAGCGTCTTTTTCGGCGTTAAGGACACATGTCCTTATAAGATAATACAATTATGTGGCGGCAATCCACATTATGAGATGTTTACGTAGAATGAAAGATATTACTTACTTATCTATTCACTAAAGATTATATTCATTTTATTTAATTGCCCTATTATTTGCCGTTTCACCTTGGAAGGCGATGTACGCCTTGGTTATAAAGCTTACTCGCTCATTTGCTGCGAAAGTCAAAACAAGTACAAAAAATATACAAATCTGTTTTGAGATTTGCATGCTAAATTTTTGCTTATTTACATTTTAAACCGATTCTTATGATAAAATAAGGACGAGACTATGCTTATTGAATGACCGGTACAGAAAAAGAGCAGATTGTCGAGGCTCTCGAGACAGTACCCTGGAGAGCTTTGGATCGGTAGGTATTTACTTGCGTTGCCATGTACGAACCAAATCAATACTTGTAGTTTTAAGTGACTGACTTGGTTATCTGGTTTTATACTATAAAATTGGCCTACATTTTACATGGTAGCAATCTAAATATTCTTTTATTTAAAAAAAATAATTGGGTCGAAAATTTCGGAATATATTCACTCGTTATGGTTCTTTTTGCGATTGATCTATAGTATATTGGTATCCACAAACGATAAAACCAGTTTTAGACGTATATTGGTGAAAAAAGCTCACAAATTTTATCGGACAGATCCAAGGCATCGAGTATTATGTTAAAAGTTAAAAAAGACGTATATATATCAATCCAACAAATTTTGATTTGTTATATTTAACCTTTATTAACTTGATTCAACGACAGCCTCAGATCGCATTTTCAGCTTTGAGTGACACTTCGTTTTTGAAGCGTTAGTTCTAAAAACTTTTCTAATAGATTCATATCCACTGATCCACTGGATCGTTCGACTAAATTTGAAGTATTGGCCAAAAGATCAGTAGTCAACGTAACTATAACGATAACAAAAGTGATTATGCATCAACGAATTTGTCATACGTGATTGAATTGAGCTTGTTCATGAGAAACGTAAAAAAATTGCTGGTCACGGCTGAGGACCCTAGTACAAAACAAAAACTGTCAGTTATTTTAACTAGCTCTCAGAAGAAAACACTGAATCGTCTTAAGCCTAAGAAGCTGATATGAAATTACTGTTGTAACCTGATGCAATTCTATTTACTTTTTTCAGCCTTCACTCGTTGGTCATTATTAAGAGAAGTGGTTTGTTGTTGTCTCTGGTAGTGAAATAGTGGCTGGTAACATGCACCGCTAAATGCGTTGGTATCTTTTTTTAAGACCATTCACTCGTTCCGAATTGCTGCAAAGCGAACTGCCTTCGAATCGTAAACTGATGCAGATAATGATAATCATAATAATCATAAATCATGTATTCTCCTTATCCACCTAGCAGAAGAAGCAACGTAGATATATGTTTATTGATTTCGGTCTTGTCATGCTTACCGCTTGCTGGTCTCACGAGCTGAATGCTTTTTCATTTTTTTTGTTGTTCTTACTAATCTGGTCAAATCTCAGGTCGTCTAAGCTGAGCTGCGAGTACGAGCCAAATGCTGCAGTCGTCGTTTAAGGGTCTGAGTCATTGTTAGAGAAGTTACAGGTGCAGCAGCGGAGCGATTCTGAGTAGCTGGAACAACGGCATCAACAGCTATGTCTTTCTTCAAAATATTTGATAACCTCCGTGGGGGTAGGTTACCAAATAGGTAGAAGATATTGTCAGTCGAGTCTGATTATCATGTAAGACAACTATGTGATTGCTTGCGTTTCCTGTTTTTTCATTTTAAGTTTACGAGCTCTGAAGGTTGGTCCTTTTCCTCGGGTAACTCATTGTTTTCCTTTTCATACATCCCGCAAAGAATACAAAAGACCGTATAACTCTCGGCTGTAGTAGCCGTAAACATTTCAAAACAGTATTTATTTCGGCATTAAACAATTGCTGTATCGGGTTGTATGCCAAAAAAAAGCTTCAAGGGACATTCGCCTGTGTCATTAGCAGATAGAGCGACTGAGCACTTTAGTGTACTTTAGCACTTTGGTGTGGCTCATACATATGATCACATACGGGATATTATAAAAACGTCAGCCATGTTCAACCTTTTTGCCGATAATACGCAGTATGTTATATAAGTGGTCTAAGTACATGTATAAGGCCGTATGTAAGTGGTAAGTTTGTCACGTATTGCCTACAAAACAGCCAGCAGCGTTTAATGGTATCTATGATCTATATATGATGTTATTCTTAGTTGTGTCCTAAGTGTGTCGGTTTGATATTGTTTGATTATTGCGGCTCCTAATTCTGATCTGATTTGTATCAGTACGCATTCCGGAGGACCCCGGCCGAGTGGTCGATGTGCGACCGGATGATTACCTTAAATGTTCTGTCCTGTATCGAGAAGATGGACTTTGTCTATATGAACTGTGTCTGCCAGAAGCAAGCGCCCCCACAGAAACCCAGATGTGTTACGATATTGTGTTACTTAAAGAGCTAAATCGATCGTCGAACTCAGCGTTAAGGTAAGATATGACGCCACGTATATTCATATATTCTCTGTTTTTGTTTATTACTTTCGATTTACAAATTTATAAGAGATGGAGTTCGGAGGGTACGGAATATGCAAGAAATGAACTACGGCCCGTGGTGTTGCAACGAAAAGATTACGATGACTCGAGTTTATCAATAGTAGCAAACTGTCTTTTCCTTGTTTTTAGCGTGTTTCGATCGGGGAAACTCGATGCCACCGAACTGCAATTTACGATACTGAAAGATAAATTACCACTATTGCTACAATGCGTGCCTGACTTGTGCACGCGAGATCTAATCCAGGAGGTAGTGTCCTTGTGTCGGAGTAACCCCTCGTGGTCGTTAGCTCATATCGCCGCGCATATGGGCATGCTAGATGTCCTCAAGCATGCCAGTGTTAAAAGGTATGTTGTAATTGTGTGTTATTGTCGTGTCGCCTCGTTAATATCAGTTATATGAACGATTCTATCACTATAATTTGTCCCTCTGTTTAATCGCGATAGTGTACTAGATGTAGTTGACAAGCCTCGAATTAGCAACCCCTAGCTTCTTTCCATTAGAAATTCAATAATGCACAAAGTACGATATTTATTGATTTGGTCACAAGCTGGTTGTTGTCATTGTATCTGCGTTCAATAGGCGCCGTTGTTGCTGACAACAAGTGTCTTATCGTCTACGTATTTCTTTTTATCAAAAATGTATAGCCAAATCAATCACATGGCAGCTGAGACGGGTCAAACCCCGTTGCACATCGCGATTAAGGCTCAAAAACTTACCGCTGTTCAGATGTTAATTCACTTAGAGGCGAATGTCGAGGCAGTCGACGCCAACCACGACACTATGTATCACTGCGCTGCAATCACTACCAAAGACATTATCAAGGTACACATCCAGGTGGCATTCAATTTAAATGCTCGTATACCACAGAAAATCATTTTGAGCGTGATTATGTAAAAAGTAGTATATATTGTCAATCTAGATTAATTAACCGTACTATACGCGTACGCAGATTTTAGTAGAAGAGCTCAGAAGTAAAAAAAATCGAATAGCTTAGCAGTTTCTGCTTGAACTGACATATTCAGGCGTTGTCTGGCAAAACAGCCGTCAACCCGATGCTGATCAATCGTCGAAATAAGGAAGGCTACACTCCGCTACAGCTAGCTTGTCTAATGGATCGCGCAGATTGCGTCAAAGAGCTTCTCAAGGTTAGTTTATTATTTATTATAAAACCTCTAGGCCTTAGCAATTTATTCTGGTGGCCTTCACCCGATGAATTCTCCGCTCATATATAGATCATTCGAAAAATTATTTCATGTCGGTAATATAGTGTTGTTTACGTAGGATAACCTGCATTTAACTTTATTTTGTATAGACATATTTTATGTGGACAGAGAAAAAAACATTTCTGAAAAAATTTCATTATGTTAAATGTTTCAGTCGTCTCCACACATTGTTTTTTAGAGATCATTATCAAGCATGGAATCCGTTTTAAGCCGTAAAATTCTCTCGTAGTAAGCGTAAAATATTATTAGTCACGCATGTACGTTCTTATGGTGACAGGAAGGAGCTGATATCAACTCCGCCTCAGCTGGACATCCTAGCAAGTCTCGAGGACCGCTTAACAGTAGTTCCACTTTAGAGCTAGATAACTCCATCCCGCCGAAATGGTAAGAGCTTAGTTGACTTGTATGTCCGTAATTACCTATTTCATAATATCACTGGTTATTTACACAATGTTTATTTTTCAAGGCTTATTTTTCATTTTCGTTATTGAATTACCAAAACTATTCAATTTTCATCTCTACTATGCCCTAGCCTGGGTCGTGGCAAGGCGGAGCAGAACGCGAACAACTTCCAAGAGGAAGATATGAAACACGGGGGTACCCCGTTACATTGGGCTAAAAGCACCCCTGTAAGTATTAATCGGAACCATAACGTAATAGGTTACGTCGTGTGAACACCAGTCAAATTAGGCGACATTTTAATGGAAGTGAATTTCCACGATATTTTAGCACAATCAATAGGTCAAAAAAATTGGTAAAGGCAAGCCTATGGTTTCTAATACCATATTATAGATACTGCCCGCTATGGCTTCATCGTTTACCAAACCATTCTTGTTTTTATCATTATTTGTCAAGAAAATATCACTAAATTTTATTAAAAATTATTCTTTATATTACGCGTTTGCATAACATTTTTACAGAAGCTGAAAAACACACATTGTCCAAGACTAACAGAGTTCATTTTAATAATATTTCTGTATTGTTCGGGTTGGGAGGACACTGTAATTTTTTAGAAGGAAAAGCAGGCATTGTTTAACTCATTTCTGATATTGTAGTTATGTAATTAACTCTATTAACTCTATTCCGTGTCACTCTCGGTACTGACGTCGTCGACATCAATCATTCAGGTGCTGGAGTCGATGATAGAACACGGATGCGACCTGAATGCTCGTAATTTTCAGGACAACACAGCCTTACATATAATGGTGGCAAGGAATCGGCTTAACTGTGTGATTCTGCTATTGAGTTACGGAGCTGATGTGAATGCGATCGGTATGGATGGAGATACACCACTTCATATAGCCGTCCGGGTTGCTGCGCCCGCTGCCGAGAACTGGCTACCCATGTTTGAACAGGTAAACATATTTCATTCGGTTAGGTAATTTGGGGTAATAAAGGTTCTTTGAGATCAAATGAATGTGCTGTGCGAGTGCACCTTGTAAAGCTCTTTGTGACGACGAATTAATGTGGATGTACAATATTCCACAGTTTCTAAAAAACAAAAATGTTCGGATTCCTTTGTCCTCTCTTGGTAGGGAAGTGCTTCGAATGCCGCCTTACCTATTGTAACATAGAAGCCTTTGTGCTGACCAGCATACCGTTTCTCATTCCTCGCCTCACATCTCAGTGTATCGCTGCGGCGATATGTTGGACAAACTATCCAAGTCTACGTTGTAGCCTATGAGGCGAGCGAGTTAAAGATTCCTCTTTGGAAAATATATTTGAACACATTTGAAGTACAGAAATGAGAAACGTATGTAAAAAAAAAAAGGCAAGGTACATATTTATTTTTTTAACTGCCCTATGCCACACATAACGGAGCGAAGTAGTTACACGTAGCAGAAGCAATCATGTTACCCTAAAGCATTTTTGTGAACTGCGATTGGCTTAATTTTGCACGCGTTGGCTTGGAAGGATAAATCTCTGGCTGAAAAGCCAGCGATGGCTATTTCAAATCGCGCTATAATAATAAAGTATAACATGTTGTGCAACATACATGTTATAATTTATTAATATGTAAATGATTCAATAAGCAAGGGAAGTAATAATCACATTTTGTCACTTTGCAGACAAAGGTGAGTTCTAATTTTTTTTTCCGACAAGACGCTGTTTTGAAGTAGTGTTGTCTTTTGGCATGAGCCTTTATTTAAAATCATTTTACCGTTTAGTGTGTACATTATGACCCACATGGCCTCTTCGCTGATATGTAAAAAGACCTAATTGAGCCGTATCGATTTCGCATATAAAACTTAATGGAATTGAGCAAAAACATTCTACCTTACATTGCGAGTGGTTAATGACTTGTACGTTTTTTTTTTTTCATTATTGAAACAAAGTGATTTTTTAAACACTGACTAGCCATAGTCCTATCTGGTTTAATGATTCAGTGACTGTTTTTTTCTGTAACCAGAAGGAGTTTTGAATAGTCATCCATTGACACAAATGCGGTGCTAGTCGACGGAGGGCCCCAAGCCAATAAGTACCGTGTAGAAGTGTCATGGCGGATAATGTTATATATTATGGGAGTATTTATGTTAATTGAACAGGTCTAATCATTCCAGACCAACACCTCTTCGACAATTGTATAGGCCAATATTACCGTGATTGACAGCAGAAACAGCCGTAAATCTAAACAACAATGGCTTAACAGTTTAACCTATTATCCCAAATTATCATCTTTTATTTAGGAGGTAATAAGGAAACGCCATAATAAGCCTATGGGCTCTCATTTGTACGCAGAATTATGCAAGAGCCTTCACTGATTAGGTAGAATCACGTAAACCTACCGTGCCCCGGTTAATCTTGTCATAATTAAATTTTACGAGCTGTGAACTGGAGCGGTCCTCACTTCTCTGCAATATATAGAAGCTCTTGCCGTCAGCTGGGTTGTCAAAGCTGGTTAAATGGAGCATAAGCGAATTCACGATAATTACTTGTATTGCTAACATTCGAAGTAGTTTTACTAGAATCTACGGAATAAGCGTTCTGCGGTCGAGTTATAGATACTCAGCAGCAGTGTTTTGGCACTAAAATTGAATATATTAGTCTATTTCTATTGCTAAGTTTTGTACGTCGTACCGTCTTGCGTTTGAAATTCACAATTCAACATTTGGGTGAGTTCTGTCTCGGAGTTAGATGTCGTGCATGTGTAAACAAAATTAACGTCCTGTTTCAATATCTATAACTCATGGCCCACCTTGCACCGATATGCATCACGCTATTCAAAGCAATTACTCTGTTCAAATTATTCTGACTGCCAAAATGATTGTACTGCTATATTCCCTTTTACCGCTAAAGAACAGGGTAGACGAACAGATTCGACTGCTCGCTCGATGGTTACCCTGTGGGACCGCTCCTGACTGTTTCCCTGATACAGCTAACTCTAGACCTTTCAATACTATTTTAACACCACAATCAACATCTTTTGTGTTCTGGTAATACACCGGGTACTCATCATCTTACAAACTTAAATTTGAAAACCTTTAAGGTTTCTTCACCTGGACGCAAGAAGCCCTTGCAAGAGCTCGCCGCCCTGTTGGACTTCGTGAGTAGAATGACCTTTTCATTAAGTCGATTTCTTCTGCAAACCCTTTCACGTCCCCGTATGTTCGGTGAAATATAATTGTTGTGGCGCCGATTTATAATTTTTACAGCCAGATAACCAAGTGTTGTAGGAGCTTACTATGCTCGGAGTGGCTCAGTTATTTATTTGCTAGCTCTCTGATCGACTGACTTGAAATGGAAGTCCCCTACGAGAATGGCAATGTCTATTCTCTAAACGGTTCCTCGATTATTTAAAAAAAAAAATAGTCTTAATGCCTTTAATTTCATTTTGCAGAAAATATTAGCAAACAATTGGTTAAACGCACGTGTAAATACCGCCATTAATCGATCTTTCTGTTAGGCTATGAGATTAGGACAGCATCGAATGCCTTTTAGGACTGAATCAGAGTAACTGCACTAAGTAACCGAAATTATGAAAAAGGCTAGTCACATCAGAATGTATTTCTATTTATTAACTATATTTAGCCTAAGAAAGTGGTTATGGTTAGTGACCGCACCCATTGCACGAAACGGTTATAGGTTTATGCAAATATTCACTCTGTTATACTACTGAGTAGCCATGAATGATAGGTTCTGATGAATGATGTTAAGTTTGGTTGATTAAACCGATAAACTTTGAAATATATTATTACTACTAGTGCTTTCGTTATCCAATGGCTCATTTAATGCATTCTTGTCTTTTTGTATGGAACAGCTGCACATGTGCGAGCAGAGTATAAGCCCCTATGAGCCATTGTACTATCTCACGGGCATATTTATTTTTTTATTTCTTAGTTTGAAATTACGCAGGATAATTGCTGTTTTTTTTTTGTCTTGATCTTTTAACCTCACCATCCGATTAAGGCAAACGGTTTCTTCTATGCTTTATTAGCAACAGAGCGGTACAAGTAAACGTGGCATATGTGTATCCGTAAGTTTGCTCTATGTCCTGTTGGAAAAATTTTAGCAAGTCTAACATTAGTTAATACATATCGTTAACATTTAGCGAATAAAAGTTTATACATATTTTTAATGGCCACCGACGCTTAGTCTGTAAACAACTATACTTCACCAGACTTACACCTGGCTTTGCTAACGACTCATTTGTGCTAAAAATCACTTAGCAGAGGCTTTTTTTTTGTCCGTTTCCCAAAAGTAACTGCTCTGTTGGTGTTGTACTTTTAAAAGTATATATTACTTTTTTTTCAAATCACCTGTTCTAGGCATGGCCAACAAAATAGTTGAACCAATTCCACCCTAGAAAAATTACAGGTCGCGTTTTTGCTGCAGTATAATTAAACACTGGACACTTACGAAACAGCTTACAAAATAAAAACTAAATTCAACAAAACAACACATGTTAATTCTGTATTATAATATATAAATAATACAACCCATTATCATTATAGCAGCTCGTCTATTTGCTTCAAATTGATTGATGTACGAGATGACGTGTGATCTTAATGGCAAATCGGATTGAATTTAACTGCCTCTCCAATAAATTCGTAAACTCGTTTGCTCATTTGTGTGTGCGCTTGCAGAGCCCCTTGGCCAAGATCAGTTGTGCTTTGGGGTACACGTTGGTGATGCGGTGATCTTGGTTTATGTGTACGCCTTTATATCACTATGTACATTTCGTGTATACGGACATATCGTAATATGCTAAATGCTCATCGCAAAATATTTATCGCTTTTTATGTGCTCGATGGAGCGGTACGATCAATGAGTATGTGTGCTGTTTGTCTGGCTTTTTTGTTGCAAATACTTTCTACTTATGCTTAAATTATGACTGGCTATTGTGACCCATTTGTCAGGGAGATGTATCGGTTCTTCAAGCCCTTATCGTGTTCGGGGCTGACGTAAACGCGCTAAATAACAAAGGTGAAACGGCCCGACATTTAGCAGCCGCTTCGCGAGCAATGAAACGAGATCTTGTGCTTTATACCGTACACGCAGTGGGCGGTTCTCGATGCAGCGATGATGTGCCTAATTGCCGAGACGGATGTTCGTCTTTTGGCTGCTTTGACGGTATCGCACCGGACAAGCCCAATTTCTTCAAATCAGCTAAGTGTGAGTAACTTGTCTTTTTTTCTTTTTTTCTTTTTTTTTTTATCAAAATGGATGAACATGTCACAGCTTAAAGGCTATGAAAGGACGGTGTACAATTTCCGATTCTGCTAACACCCCGTTACAGTATTCGACAGCCTACTTGGTGAGTTAATTGTTAAAGAAGCCTTGGAGAGTCTAGAAACAGTGCAAGAGAGCGATCAACGACGCGGTCGCCAGTGTCGGGCATTGGCTTTAGACGGGGGCGGTATCCGTGGATTAGTGATTATCCGAATGATGATGTCCCTTGAAAAGGTTGTTGGTCGACCGCTCGTGCAATGCTTTGACTGGATCGCGGGTACCAGCACCGGTGGCATCCTCGCATTATGTCTTGCTAGTGGTAAGTGTAGCGAACTGGCAAATCGTTTGTACTCAACTATAACATCAATATTTAACGAATAACTTCTATTCAATTATGGCTATGTCCACTGTTCGGTCACATTAAACGTCTAAAACAGTTGTTTTTCGCCAGAGTTTACTAAACTTATTGTATGTGGTATTTTCTGTTGTAGGTAAGACTACATCACAATGCTTCAAGTTGTACTTTCGGCTGAAAGATAAAATATTCGTGGGTAACCGGCCGCATGATTCAGATGCACTAGAAAAACTTCTTAAGCAGGAATTGTCCGAAAATCTGCGTATGAGCGATATTTCTTACCCCAGGTAACCGCTCTATATAAGACAAAAATCTTAAAAGTTAATGATAAGGACTTTTTGTTCAAACAGCATATCCCATCAATTTCTACATAAAATCGTAATTCCCATTCACTCCATAGTAGGAGCATTTTGAGATGATTCAACAGCGCGCTTCAATTGCTGCTGCATTTTTTCTTTCTCTTGTGATGCAGGATTGCAATTACGGCGGTGGCTGCTGAGCGTCACCCAGCTAAGTTATATCTGTTTCGAAACTATAAGGCTCCCCGTCAAATTGTGGCTGAAAGCGGTCCAGGCGGATGTGTAGTTGGGGATTATGAACCTGATCCCGATCCGTCGGAACTTGTCTGGAACGTAGCCCGTGCCACAGGAGCTGCGCCAACATATTTTAGCCCGTACAAGCAGTACCTCGACGGAGGATTGATTTCCAACAACCCTACCCTCGATCTTCTCACGGAAATCACAGAATACAACGCCGTGCAAAGGGTAGGGAAGACCTAACACGATATCCCGGAAAATGCGTTGAAGTGTTATTGCATCATAGCCAAGTCCTCTAAAATTCTTTCACGTTTTCAAATGCACTATTTCAAAGACAAACAGTCTTGCTGCTTACCTTTACGCACTCTTTACGCTCTATGTGCGTTGTTTGCAGGCCATAGAAGCGGACAGTGAAGTGGCCAATTTGACAGTAATGGTCTCACTGGGTACCGGTAAACCTCCCGTATTACCTACCTCAACAGTGGATTGCTTGCAGACCTCCACGGGTCTACTGGGAACTGCCAGAATGGCGTACGGCCTTCAGAAGCTGTTCCAGTTAGTTGTCGACCAGGCTACTCAGACGGGCGGTCGTGTGGTGGAACGGGCTCAGGCGTGGTGCCATGGAATACGAGTACCCTATTTCCGACTAAATCCTGAAACGTCGGAAGAAGTCGGACTCAATGAGACCGACAACAAAGTATTGGTAAAGCTGCTCTGGGAATCGATGGTGTACATGCGGAATCGCCGCAAAGAGCTCGCACAGCTGGCTCGTCTCCTTAAGCCATGTAACGACTCGCCATCTCTTCTATTACGTTCGGAATCTCCAGGACCGCCCATCGATTAGAAACGATACTGAAAATTTGGGACAAATAAAGACCACAAAGTCACGACAAAGTAGCACTTTTGCGGCGAAGTACCGAATAATGTTTTATTTGGCGGAATCAAACGATAGATTTGAGGTTGGTTACTCATCGTACCGTGCATCATGCGTTCATTATTGAAGATCTTAGAAACCTTAGTCATCTACTCTAAAAAGGTAAAAAGTTTGGAAGACAGTAGCCGTAAGATCGATGTGTTGCTCATTATTATGAAGTAGAAATTACTCAGAACATTCTTTGTAAACATATTACAGGTTGCTGATTCATAATATTTCATATTTAAACGGTTCTGGATACTGTCGAGCGCCCTGATAAACCCTGACCGCTTTGCGATGCCTTCACTTTTATTCAATCAACGTTATTTAACTGATTAGCAGCATCTCGTTCGAAATCAACACAAGCAGGGGCATCTGTAAGTTTAATACTAAACTTTGCATTAGCGTTTATTTGGCCATTCACATTTTTTCATTAGAAGGTAACGTATTCAGATGGTAACTTTGCTAAATCATTACAAAAAAAAAGAACTGGTTGTTTTCATTAGGCGCAGTTGATATAAATATATTAGAAGTATTTATAGGTTTAGGGTTAGGTAAAACAACATATAGATCCGGAAGTTTGACGTAAAAAACGGCACATTCGAGCGACCGGTGAAATGTTGACAGTCTCATAAATGAATATTTATCGCTTTATACAATATGTGGCAGATTCAGTCGGAAGAACTGCGCTGAAGTAGAAATTAGTAACAGATATTGAAATACGTAAGAAACTTCAAGGGCAACGAATGCTAGTCGAGCCGTCAAATATTAATACGCTGCGGCAAAATAACGATTTCGAAAAGTTTTCATATTTTCTTATCTTGAATGTCCTTAGTGTTAACGTTAGCTAAACACTCGATTTGTATCTAGTGGACCCTATCGCTTGCTTCGCATGAACAGTAAAAGGTATATGTGCGTTGAGGAAACATCCTACACGTTAGTTCTGATGACGAGAAGCAAGCTTCGGTAAAATGTGCGAAATATAAGTGATATATTGATCATAATTATTATTAGAAAATCATCTATAAGTGGTGAAAATGTACTACCGTATTTATTAGCTAGGAACTGGGCTACAAGCAGTGGCTGTCGTATAGTGATGGGTAGAAAAATATAACTAGCGGATAAGGTCTATAAAAATAGTTATATGAACAATCTAGTGTTTTTGTTATATGATGTATTTTCTTTCGAATTTAGTGGGATCATTGTTACTATTGTTGTTATTTTTGTGGTAATGCTTGGTTGTACATAGTGTCCTTTAATCGCGAAGGCCAACCGTTAATCAAAGAATACCAAATATACAGTTTATATAGTCAAACATACAACGATGCAAATGCAAAATCCTAATCGCGATAATTATGATGAATATAATTATGTCGTCAATAATAAGTATAATGAAGCATTCTGTGAGTGACAACATTCTATGTTTAGTCCAGTACCGATTCAACCTATCAAAAAAGTGAACGGATTTTAGGTCGGAACGGATGGCTGAGCCTAGGTTGTTGTATGATGGCATACGAAATCAGTTCGAGTTGTGTTGGCCGCAAATGACATTAAAGAGGTTAAAGCTATTAACAAAACATGTATTTAGTACGTAAAAATACGTCTAGTTCCATAGGCAAGCAGTTTGCCTATTAGACGATCACGTACTATTCGAAACGAACAACAATCTTATTAACTCTATTCATCGGAAGTGTTGTCCATATTTAGCGGGCTGACGCATATGACACGGTGCGAAGGACAAAATCGTACTTTGAAATCGCTAATACTATTTCTCGTTATGAAAAACGGTGTAGTTTGGTGATGTATGCAGTGTATTCTTACTAAACGATAGGAGTGCAGCTAATAAAGATCAGAGCTACAGCCCTGATGTATAAGGCAACGTGGTGCCTCCTTTTACGAACCTCTTTCGGTGGCCTATTCCTTTTTTACCCTATATGCCTCATATGGTGTACCCATCTGTATCTGCGTACAAGTATTTGTGGCGAAATTGGCATTCTCACTGGGGCAAAGATCGCCAAGGCTGATAACAAGACAAAGAAAGTCTCCCGTTCAATTCGCAGCCTTTACTTTTGAGGAAAGAAAAGGATTTCGAAGTGGTATCTGTCACAAGGACGAGCATAAAAATACGAAAAACGGCCCTATATCTGTACTCTTACATATGTCTACTGGGTCGAATACAAGATAATCGGATATGCAGGGTGTTTAAAAGCGAGAAGTCGTATCTTTGGAAGTATGAGAGAGCTCAATAAACGTGTTGATTATTTAACGTGTTAGTACTAATCACTTGTAATTAACTGATAATTAAAGCCATTAACGGATATTACCAAAAAAAATTAAATTTACTCATATACAACCTCATTTTCATGTTTTTTAATGAAGCTATTTTCTTCACACTATTGCATACTACCCTAAGTGGTACCTGCTAAGTCATTATTTTCGTAGGTTTTTGCTTTTAGCTCTAAGATGAACATCGTATGATATCGCTAGTAGAAACGCTTCGTTTTTTAAGCCTTGTCACCTCCCTCAGAAATCGACGTCAAGCTCTAAATTACACGATATAATGACAATAAAAATATACAACTATCTGAGATGTTTGGAACATCACGGGTGTACTTGATTTGATTCGAAAAATAGATACACACACACGTTATAAAAAGCAAAAATATAAACAGTCGGGTCGAATAATAAGATCAGTACGCCGTCACTGTTTTTCTACTACTTAACAGAGATCAAGCAAAACGCCTTAGATTGAACAAGCTATGCCTACTCACGTTCGAGATGCGTGCGAGAGGCCCAACGAAACCATTAATAGCTATCGCAAGACGTCACACCTATAATGTCCTACTACAAAAGGCTGGTAACACTGTGGTCTCAGCGAGGCTATTTGTTCCATTCATCCTCACCCATATATGCAGCGTGTGTGCGAACTTACACTGAAAATTTATCCAGATAGTCTAGGCTCGATATTCTCGCCTATTATATCTGGGAATACGTAAGGTGATCTAGGTAGGACACTGGGCATAGCCATATTTCATCTCGTGCTGGGGACCAGCCATTCGAGGTAACAATTAACTATAGTACAACACTTGAAATGCCAACATTTTCTTCTATGCATTTACTAATGGAATTCCCCAGCACCTGAACACATCATGACATGTATTACACATCTTTTCAAATATAGTAGTATTTTCAGGCAGGGAAGTACTATAAAAAAAATTCCGAAAATATAAGTGCGTTAGGCTGTTTTATACGTTACGGATAGGCTGTTTTTCCCGTTCGTCTAGCAGTGATTCTGGGTGAATAGCGCACAGCGCTTCGGAAGGACAATGGCTGACCAGATAACATACACTCAATCATGGCCTTTAGTCCCTGTGCATTGTATTGAAGATGCATAGTTGCTTTTTTTAGTCGAACTTCACATTATAATTTTCTTAATAAATTACATCTTATTATCACTGTCTTAACTACAAGTATATTGTATCATTCACATAATCAGGCTGTAGAAAAACATTTATTGTACGTCATAATAGTTCTCTGAACTATTACGTGTCAATATATTGTCGGCCAATTGAAACCTACAAAGCGTTGTCAATACGGAATTAGATCTTTGGAGAAGTTTTAATTTGTTGTGGGCAAAATTTGCCTTCCAGACAAAATTTCTCCAAAATATGCAATTTTCGCCACATTGTGGTTTCAGTCCTAGCTCTCAGCGTTTCCGCCGTACTTGCAACCCAATGGGAGCAATGTTTCTCCATTATTCGACTAGTCCATTCAGTAGACATACTCGTTTATTCAATACGCTGTTCTGTAAAACAGCGAGTCTAAAATGATTTACTAGTTATTGAAATTTACTTATATATTAGTAGAGTGTCCGGCTGTGTAGGTACGAGTAGTTCGACCAACCTCCAGCGCAGGTATTGTTGAGTACCCGCATATCTACGTGCTGCTGAATCATTGTTAGGACGATTTCTTTCCCTCTGGATTAATGTCAGGTGTTCAAAAACGCCAATTAACCATTCATTTAGCTCCGTAATCGTCGAGAATCGCGTCACGAAGACTGATGGCGTTTTGTTCACCTCAGCCTCCGCCATCATCTCGGCCGCTGCTGGGCGCACTTTCTGGTCTACCGCCGAAAACAGGTTCGTATCTGCACGTGAATCCAATTAGACGCTCCAATTGTAAAACATAAACTGCTGGCAGAAAAAACTATCGCTGTCAGAAAATCATCTACGCGTAAAAAATATTTAAATACGATAAGGAAAACTTCCTGGAGGGGCAATCGTTAGCCCAATAGTTGAACTAACTAAATTTGGCCATCTCTCAAGACCATAGGTAGTGTAAATGTTGTACGAATCGCATTGTTCACCTTTCGAATAAGCACCTCCAACTACAGGACAATACCGCAGTCGTGCGTTTACGGCATGCTAGCAGGTGTACCACGATATCGATGAGTTTACACCTGTACCCTGTCACTATCTCTAATCGTCATTGAAGTTTTGATTTACTTCTAGCAGTATTTTTAACTTACTATCCCACCTGAAGTAGTTAACACAAACTGAACGGACATATCGTCTTTGTAGATTCTGTTTTTCATTAATACACGACAGTGTGATCTGAGATCTGCATATATTAAGCATTGAAAAAATTTTGCCATCAATCAAAAGAAAGTTTGTCCCTAGTGTTATGTTATACAACCGCGTGCTCATGCAAATATTCTCAATATTTGCTCAGGCAGTGGAGAGAAAGACTAGATATTTTATTACTAAGCATTATTTCAAACGGCGATTAAGAGAACTGAATAAGTTGAACCTTCCTTCGGAACTGGCTGCAGAAAAGCTCATATCAGCAAAATGAGCAAGAATTTTGGCTCCTACTGAATCGAGACGTTCACATGAGCAGCAACGACTCTACTTCGCGATATCATATCCAGTTACGAGAAAAATAAACGACGACGTATATTGATTGACGTGTATATTATATAAAGTACGTATGATTGTACACTAGCTATAAGGCTCCTTCGTGTCGAGTGAAGAAATTTGGTTCATACATGAAACTTTCAGAAATTGCTTGATAAACATTTACGGCCTCACACCTACTTTTCTTTTCATGATTCACAAAATTAGTAGAAAATAAACTTCCTGAACCCAACAACAATCATTCTGACTCAAGGGTTTTACTCCTCTAGTTCTCTGCGCCGCACGTTTTCGGGTTACGGTGTAAATACAACCTCCCTTATGCGTATAACTTTTGACACTGTTCTATAAAAGGCGAGATATTAGGCAGTTTCAGAAAGGTTTCTTCACTTTCTTAACTGCATTACAACCTAACCACGTTTTCCAATGATGAGCTAAAACTTGTCGGTCCATGGCTGCGCGCAATTATTCAAAGGAAAAAAAGTTGATTTTTTAAATGTTGCTAACTTATTGTAAATGGCTCTCCTTTGCTTTTTACTATTTGGGCGGCATATTTAATAATAGTAGCTAACATTATTTTTAATACTTATATACATTATGAGTAGTCAAAGCTTATGGATACGCTTACCCCTTTTGAGTTGCAATTGCATAAACAGCTAACGCTTGCTTGTCGGGCGCTGACTGATTCCTTACGCTTGCCGATTTCTTAACAAATAACAACATCGGTCGACTTTATCTCATGATACAGATATTCACAATTGTCCTGTCCCTCTCCCTCTCCCCATGATGGTTTAGCGTGGCTAATAATGTTCTCTTACCCCGTGCTTAAGCCAGCGCCGTTATGGAACGCCTTCAGTCGGTGATAGCATTTCGTTCGGAGCTCAAGTCTTCGCTTGCGCGCTGAGTTCATTTGGCTCCTAATTGGCGCCACCGGTCGCTACCATTGTTAGGTGGACGATTGCGTTGTTGTTGTCGTTTCCGTTTTGTGGATTGCTAGACGTCAATTGTAAACGGCGGATTCTTCATGCCATCGGCTTTTCATCGTTCCTATCTATTCATATATACCTCAGTCGTCTTGATTCAAAAAATGATGTAGATGGCTTCAGGAATGGTGACCGCAGCCCCTGCCGCCAAGCCACTAACCGTTAATGAATTTGGTCAGTAATTAGCGGAAATCTTTGTTTATCGCCTTTGTAATTGGCATCATCATAGTTTCGTTGCTGTTCTGTAGGTCGTCCACCAATCAAATAGGGATGAGGCATTTAGTAGTCCAATAATCTGCGAATCTCACTCGGCGGAGACTAGTTCTACTTGTCGTGGTGTCGCTGGTGTTTATCCTAATTGAATGTATCGTTATTAGAAAAACGATAGATGCCATAACAATGGTAGAGGAGCCTCGTAATGTCAGCAATGCTGCCAGCTTAGTGGTTTCCGCATACAGATATACGTGTTGCAATTGTGAATGTGATTATTAGTTCTTGCATTCGTCAGCGTTCGAAACTCAGGATAGTAACCGAAAAACGTGGTGCTGAAGAAGACTGGTTTAATTGGTAATAGCCACCGCGTAAAAGCTGAGTAACTGACACAAAGGAACCGGTCAATTACGAACGAAGTTCAACGTAAATACCAATCTTTGGCTCGTAACAAAAACTCAACAATGACAAAAACTTCTTTTTTCGAGGGTTCTTCGAATTATCTGTTAGTGGAGAAGATACGAAAATCCAGGTGAAAGCCTCAGCCAAGCAAACATCGACAGATCACCGGCGGCATTATCCTTTTTGCGCCTAAAAATCATACGAATTACCGTATGATTTCAACTAGAACCTAAGTATGGATTGCTATTCCCGTGGAATACACTGACTGGAACGGAATATCCTCAAGACTGTCTTCGAAGTCCTGGGTACACAGAATGTAAGTATAGAGACGTTTGCCAAAAAAAATATTCAAGCACTAATTGATGTGGGCGCTATATATACTAAGATTCAAGCTAAACTTACCATTTGTCTCGGATACGTAGGGGCTAACAATGGTATAAGTGCATGCGAGTGACTCCCTGCGGAACACGTATACTAATGCCGATATGAGGAAAAAAGCTCTTCATTAGGACTCATGATTGCGAGCGAATCTCCTATGCAAAAACGCTAAACAACGACACACTTACCGGAGATCCTGATCAGGACATTTATTATATATTATGTGCTGACAACCTTAATTTCAAGTATTTTGCAGATAGATAGTCAAATGAAAAGAGTGAATATATGAAAAAAGTGCAAAGACCAAACAGCTTACGGGTTCGTCGCTTTCGAAGACATATTTGTGTTCTAATATACACAACTAAATTGATTTGGGGTCCTCTGAAGGGCGTTCTTTCTAGATTTTTTTACCTCTAATTCTTACAGGTTGTTACTACATACAGCCCGTATTGCAACAGGTGCTTGTGTTGATGAACTTAGCTGAGTTATTGAACTTAGCTATAAGAAAAAACAAAGGTAGTGTTACACGTAGAATACAGACCGCATGATCTTTGTGCACGTTTAACTTCCTCGACAACATAGTTGCCAGCATATAGGCGAAGAGCATAGCAAATATATAAAAGAACACGGTCGAGGAAGATATTTCAATTATAGGCTGAAGAACAGCGCCAAAAACATGATGGATCACAATTAGAATTGCTTCAAATATAGCTTCATATCAAATACATAAAAAAAGCTTGTCTTCACATAATTTTAGATCAGAGCATCTCATAGCAACATTAGTCTTTTGAGCTCTCACCGTGATATTTCGTTTTGTCTACGTAGAAGATGTTCTTCTCAAAAATCATATCCCTTCTATTTTCAGATAAAAGATAACTTAGAAAAATAGCAATTAGCCGCAGAACTTGCTGCACACTGACTAGCATCAAGAGCTGATTGTCCACAGCTTAGTTCGGAGAACTTTGCCCAATTTCACCTGCGAAAGAGAATCATTGGAACAACCGGGACAATGACACGGCGTCATAAAAAAACAATAGGACACGTTCATATATCAATGATGCTGAACATATGATAAAGCCAGATGCTTAAATCAACCTAAAACAAATAATTAAGCTTAAGCTAAAATTGCGTAGTTCGAACTGTAGCCGACGTGTCCTAAGGGTACTTTCTATAACATGCTTTCGGTTACAATTCGGACCACAGTTCAGCCGTCTCTTAATAAGCGGTAATTTGCCTTACTACCATAAAGCACTTTATAGCGTGATAAGATATTCGAATTCACTTTTACCAAAGTGAAAATGTTGCACACTTACTTCAAAGTTTTTTCGTAACTACATGAAAAGCGGAAGCAAGGGGACAAGTAATGTTCGCGATTGACCATGTTACTTTGTATGCAGATAGTAATATATTAATACGTAATAACATGTAGCTAAGCCGTAAATTTAGAAATACTCATCATTATAGAAAAAAAAAATGCAAACACCTTTTATAGGTAAACACAAACAAGTTTTTCCAACTTGCAAGATATCTATTACTAAGAATCATGAAAGAACAAGACATTTCATGTCTAGCTTTAAAAACTTACCACTAAAAAATTATCAAAAAACCATCATAACGGTAGGCTTTTTAAATCACTAGTACAACGGTGACGGCGTAAACGTACCTTTATAACATCCATATAGCAAAGCCGGAAAATCGAAAGATTATCTGTGTTGCTTCGATGTTACATATCCAAGTAGATTCAAACTACTGCGCCATTGCGCTCAAACTGTCGAAGGTCTCCATGAACTCTTATGACTTCAGGACAGTATACCGTTATCCGTAACGGAAATTTATTATATGTAGTAATAACGTATAATTACACCTCATCAGGGCTAAACAAATTCCAAACCACTGTGAACTGTCACAACGGCATAGCTTTACATGCTATCGCATGGCAACGAAGCTCCAGAACTCTGCTTTTTTCATATATTTTATTTCGTCGCTTTTTTACATAACTAAATAGCCCCTGTCAAAGTCGTAAGTAAAACACTAGACAGTGTATCGAAATTCGAACAAGATCAAAAATATGGGCAGCACTAATTGGCTTTTTGGATGCTTTCTTTTTAACAAGGCTTCACGTGAAATCAGCCGCGACTTCTGCTTTATCAAAGCTTACAAAGCTTCAGTTTGATTTCAGAAAGCCCCTTATTAGAATCAGCCGTGATTAATAGTAGAAAACAACTAACTAGAGTGTAGCAGTCTTCCGTAGCTCCTGATTGCCTTTGTTGCACTGCAAATTATACGTCGTTCCACTGCCACATTCGATATCATTCATACGGGTCCGCAGTTACGATCGCCGCCGCTGCTCAGGTCTCATTAGCGAACCCGTAGGCTAAAAATTACGTTACTTTTGTTGAAAAGTACGGATATTCTACCTCCTTTAATAAATCCTCAGTCTAGTAAATAAATAGCCTAGATTTCAATGATTTCGCTGTATGCGCCTGACACAGATCGGTATTCATGTCAAGCGGTATTCATTCAAGAAACGCGAATCATAATGTCAGGCTTGCCTATGACAACATGTCTTTAACTTTTTATTTGTTTTCGCTTTTTACAAATCACCGCTACCAATATCTCTCTGAAAAAAAAAAACGTTTTATTTAATACGAGAAAAGTGTTTAAATTTGGCCGAGCATAGCACTATCGAATTCGCATTGAACATAGCAGCTAAGATCACGCTCAGCGTAGCAGGTCTGCTCTTACAAGCCAATAGCGTAAAGTTCAGCCGAACCCACCACTTGTTTAGCTTTGTTCGTCATGTCTTATGGAGGTTCACTACTTCTAATCAAACAGACAGGTAAAAGAAAACAATCGTTGCTTTGACTCTAGTCTACGTGTACCCTTGACAAAGCCGAAAGATGCGTGATTACATTTACACAACCATCACTGATGTGACTGACTTCATCCCTGTGTCAATATCCATATCATGTCTATTCATTAGTCGGGGTCTTAGAGGGTTTACTATGTTCGATACGAGCTGCGTCAGCAGCACGACGACTACCGAGAAGTAAGTGAAGGCAGCAAGGGGCTTTCAGAGAGAAAGGTAGTATAAAAAAGCACGAGCCCTGTGCTGCGACCATGAGACGGATAGCCGATGGCAGAACAACACACGTATTTATAAATTATACAGGAACTGATGATATAGTTGAAGCAATGTTTTCCATGGTTATGTTAGAGATTAACTAAAACCATATATATGTGTGTGTGGTTATTTTGAAAGAAGTGAACCCACTGGTGGATCAACGGAGGGTTTATTGGCAAGAGAATGGATTATGCGAGGCGAAATGTTGAGCTAATTTGACTCTCCGATTCATGAAGAAATTAACAGCTTGCGAAATATTATTATCCAAACTGTAGATGAAGCATCAACACTGAAATACCTGCATGTAAGCGCGGGAACGAAAAAAGATCCATCGCCTATCGACAATCAAATAGATTTAATTTACGAAAAAAATCAATTTCTTTACAGATAAATCTCCCGAATAAGATAGTAACAGCGTGAAAATATAAGGATACTTTTATAGTGCGGAGGTAATACGTCAACTTACTTAGCTTACACTTTGTTTCGTGGTGGGAGTCAGCTGTCTCAAAACAATGCCGCTACTGACTAGCCATTGATTTGCCGTGGAAAGGGTATTATATACCCACAGCCGGCAGAAGCAAGCACATTTTTAATTATATAATTTGTTTCGGTATCGAATTGTAAACCCAAAACATCTATTTTTTCATACTTTTCACACATTTTGTATTGTGAGATCCTGTACTAGATTCTTTATTACTGTTTGTCGGTTAAATTATTACGATAATTAATTATTGGGATGAAAGGGAATGATCGCCGTTATCCGAAACTAACGCTAAACCCATCAATACCGGTTAATTTGACACCTTGCGAATTTCTTAGAAGTCATACGTATAACTATAAAAGTAATAGCCTTAGAGATGTTCAGGTAATTTTGGCTGATTGAGATAGGGTGTAAAGAGAAGTGTAAAGCTTCACTTTACTAATTTTTATAACTATCAAGCTAAGATATCCGCGAGCAATTCACGAACAATTGCATATAGAAGTAATAGCAAATTTTTCCAAATTGAAATCTGTGAAGTGTGTGTTGGTTATGGTGGGTATTGATAATTGACAAGTGGGTATTGACAATTATATGTCTTTACGTTTTAAACGTAGACAACAGTTTGATATTTTTAATTCAATTAAACAAAAATTTACTTCCGTTTGCACATTAAATTACCCTCGCCTATTGAACCGCTGTTTTAGCATTATTCCATTTCTTTATAAAAGTATACCACAAACAGTATGGCGTTTATTAGAGTTTTATAAATTCATTATAAAAACATTCAATGCAGTTGAGATTGGATTACCTTAATTCCAGCTTTTTTCTAATTAGACTTTACATTTAGCGTATAGGCACAACAGTGTCTACGCTAAACAACTACATTTTGCGATAATAGTTTTTTTTAATCTCAAATGGTTCGCTTTTTACTACGTTTACTATTTTGATATATTATTACGCCCTATATTTAAAGGTTAAACAAAAGAGCGCAGATCACGTATGACTTCAATTGCTTTCAAATAGCACAACGTCTGAGTGCAGCCGCAGCGTTCTCATTACTGAAGTTCTGTGGTTCGAACATTTCTTTCAAAGCAACGAAATTCGATCATATAAATTTAATTTTCTTATTTGCACTCTTTAGATTCTTGTTATTGAATAGAAAATCTGAAGAAAATTTAAATAAAAATAAATAAAGTACATTGATTAATTTACTCACAGCTCTTTTGGGTCCAGGATTTCTTACAGGGATACGCTGTTGCAACCCGATTTTGATGTTATCACATCACTAAACCCTTTTCATAACGCTAAAGAATACTGCTCGTATAGAAAACGACTTTGGGTGAAAATGTATGAGAAAGAAGCATTCCTTATGTGCCTAGATGTTACAGATCGAATTCGCTTTTATTATCTGGCAACTATATTTAAACTAGATGTAGCTATAACGTTTTACCTAGTTTATTATACTGCAACTCATCTCAAACGCAAAGTTCTCCTTATGTGGCCTAGTCTAGTTTTATGCCAGTAAATTCCGTTCGCACTCTGATAACGCTTCCATCAGTGTTGTTTTCATTATAAAGTGCTTTTCGTGTAGTTCGTGTTACGCTCCATCTGATTTCCGCTGCCCTGGACCTGTAATAGCCATTCGGTGTATAAACCTTTATTATGTCTTGGCCCAATCATACGATTAATGTAGGGGCATAATGGAGCACAGGATCAAGTTCTTGATCATTAATTTGTCTTGATGTCAACCTTATTTGCCATTACCGGATCAGTCGCACGCAGTTTACCTTCCGTTAAAGAACCTTTGCGAATTGCTTAAACGCAGATGAAGATTGAAGTCTGCATTTGAATACTTCGATGTAATTCTACGATATTCTATCTATATATTCGTCGAAATATGTAACGCTCGATTTAATATACGATAATGGTGAGCATACTTTGAGATAGAGCCAGGGAACAAGCCAGTAACTCCGAGAACACTCGAACAAATAGCGAACAACCTTGTACATAGGACGTGACAGCACTTTGCTCGTAAAAGAGATATCACGGACAAATCAAAGGAATATTCACCCTTAACATCTACTCGACCCCCACGGCTCACGCTGTTACTGACGCACGGTCGAATCGAACACAGCAACATTTTTGGCCTTGATCGTCGGTTGCAGTTCGGATCTTCTAGACGTACCTACACAGACCGACGCCCATAGACATACACATTAATGCGGCTAGAAATCTTCAACAATCCGGTCTTCCAAAGTGTTCATTCGTTGTTACAGTTGAAGAAGTTTCAAACATATATAGACGCACCGTTATCTTTGAACTTCATAGTTCAATGGTTACAACTACTATTGGTATATGTTGTTATTGCTTATAGGATAGCTTGGTCCCTTTCCGACGTAGCTGGCGAACTCTGCGTAGCCATAGATACGCGTATCTATCGCTACGCTGAATTCGTGTAATAATAATCATAAGAATACGCCATGTAGTGTATATATATATATATATATAATAATGCTAAACGAGAAATCATTTCACCGAATATTACCTGGATCGATTTCAGTGACCGCCTGCCTCATGAAGATATATTGGTGAGATTATCTAGTTATTTAATAACCATATATGCGTATATATATAAGGCTGATGCTTTCTCTTAGGATCGATATATAGGCTCGATGATAACGTGCTGTGGCTAACGGCCGCTCGATTGACGAACAACAAAGCCCTTTGAGTTACGACGTTCGGGGTCGTTTCGGTATGCTTTTGTCGTTCTTCTATCTCATTCAGCAGTGCACATGTTGGCTGCAACTGCGTTCCTTCACGTTATGCTGCTGCTGCCGTAAATGTCGCCACGTTTTTCACACTTAGATTATACTGTTCCTTCTATTGTTCCTGGCCAACTGGGCGCGCATTGATTGATAAACGAGCACGATCATTAAAGTTTCTTGGAGTTAGCTTAATTCTCGCTCAACACTAATAGATGGCGTGTTACATAATCGTTCTTGTATCAAAATACATGTTTCAGTTACAGGTAACGTCAGAAGCTACGTTAGGTAATAGATAATACCCATATATCCGAAGGAACGAAAGGAAACTAACGGACCAGCATAAGCAGAGGCAGTGATAATTGGCGATGAAGGGATACAGTAATAAAAATAATGGCATTGCATTCATTTATGCATAGTGTCTAACATATAATTCCGGTGGTGTGACGGAAGTCCGACATCGACTAAATAAAATTTAACACACGTACACAATCCTTCAATAGCAGCGACATCGAATCAATGGTCGGTTTGTATTCTGAGGTCTTGTCGCTTCCGAACATCATTTTGGTCCGCTTTAAAAACGAGAGACGGCGCCATCATCGGGGTGTGTTTTTTTTTTTAACTAATCTTACCCTTTGATATTTGTCGTAGAGGCAAGTAGCGCTCAGTTACCTATGTGGATCAAATACATCATAAACTCTGGCAACACTATTCCCAATGAATAGCCTATCAATCAAAGCCAAGATAAATCATGATAAGACATAATCGGTTTTGTTTGACATTTAGGAGAACTCCTCACCAATGGTATTTAGGTCAACGCTTTTCCGAAAAATCGACTCTTCACTAAGGTCTTCGACAACACGCAAGCCCTTATCCAATTCATGACAATACGATTTCTGCGCTTAAATGTAGAAACCGAAAAAGGTACTTTAGATGGGAATAGCTCTATCTGCGCGCTATTGACCCGTCGATGTAACAGTTACATTGAAACACGAATCACAATAATATGAATAACGATCCGTTTTTTTGATATTCACGATCGAGGAATTTCGAGTCTATCAGATCAGCGATAAATTCACAGTCATTGTTAGATTCAACATACGCTCCAAATCGAAACTGCAAACTGTTGCCCTCCATCTTCTCAACCGGAAACTCACGCATCTCCAAATGCGATTGACTTGATAGAGCTAACGCACGCCGTTAATTTCATGACCTGTAAATGAATCGCCAGAGCTGAGTATCTAGGAACGCCAGAACTTGCTCAACCGATCACGCCAGTTGTCTGCATCGAGTGAATTTCTAGACAGTTTATATGTAACCCATTGGTCAAAGTTGCTCACTGAGCTTAAGTGTTGCATCTTATTGATCATCTAAAAAATGTTGTTTTTCGAAGCATTAGTAAAAGCTATAAAGTGTTACTATTAATATACAAACATACTATCTAAATAGAAAAAAAAGCTATCTAATGCTAAATGATGCAGTACGGTTGAAACGTTTTTGTGAAGTAATAAGAACAAAAATAATACGCTAAATAAAAACATTACAGCCATAAAATCGCGTGATGTGTATTAAAGACATACACTGTATTATCTATCAGCTTCTTCTCTTCTGCGCGACGCTCGGACCTCTCACTTGCGAAGGATTATATAATACCATTTTAATTTTGTGGCTTCTTTCAGTAAAACTAAATTACTATACAAATCAATATAACAAACGGGAAAGAAGCAATCGTATTCTAATTATGTGTACTTAAGTGAAGTAACAGTTTGCAATAACTGTGAAGTAAAGATATTACATAACAGAAAAACAAGCGAGCTTTTCCAGTGGTACATTTGCACAGGCCCTAAATATACGTACCGAGTTTTCCGTCCGGTACTGCCATCAAGCACTGCTTCAAACAGCTTGTCTTCAGAACGAAACAAACTATGTCCACTCCTACTTTCAGACCTTAGCCATTTCACGTGGTTCTAAGTTTAGAGAAGCATATTATCATAATATAATTATAGCCTCATTCAGTCACTCTGATGAACTAGCCCCTAGATATTACGTTAGAAATATTCTCGAAGTCGTTCCAGTCGACTACTTCAGATATGTTTCCGCGAACTAACTTGCCATTGAATAAGATAGCAACAAACAGGATAGCAGACTTGGTTTGGTTTATATTTATCCAGGAAGTTCAGTTCTAACTTCTTAGGGCACTATCACGGGCTCAGATGACGCCAATAATCCATCATAGATAAACACGATTACACAAAAGACGTTGCCAAGGTCATAATTAGATGAACCACAAACAAACTCTAAGCGCCAAAAGTTTTTACGCATTTCGACGAAGGCGAACATGTTCCATATGGCACATGTTACGACTGAAGATCAGTCACCGATTGACGTTCGCACAAAGCTTACATTGAAATCTAGGTTGACCAATTGCAATCGTCTTGCCGTTTATTACTTCTCGGATAACGAAGCCTGACTGGTTCCATTGTGTGCCAATAGACGATCAACAACAGCGTTACGAGTACCCAAAATTCTACACAAATACAGGTTTGGTTAGTTGATTACTAATCGGTCGTTCCGCTCGTACTACTTGTCATTTGTGAAGCACATCTGTCATTTATCGTTGCTCTTACAGAATATTTCATAAACGATCGCCTTCAGTATTTCTTTGATCGACATAACCTGCCAGAAATCTCGGAAACTCTCAAGATGGCAGAATGCCTTTTTGAGTTGAACGCCAAAAGTGTCGAGACTTCTATGATAAACGGTCCTGGCAAAAGGTCGACAAGAACCAACTAATTATAGAGTTACGGTAAATAACAAACTAAGAGACACCACGAAACTACGCGTGTTCCGAGCTGCCAAGAGTACACTTTATATATGCGTCAAATTATTACTATTCTACTACAATTAGAATCGGAGAAATCATATACGGGAGTTATACCGCTTCTACGACCTTTATTTCGGACCAGTGCATGCACGGGATGATTGTCCATCGACGATACTCGCATTCAATCTTCAACACAAAGCGACAAAGCGGCTTAATGTTGACACTGACGAAAACTGGAACTGGAAGAAGAGTTATGAGATCAGTGAAGGTTAGTAAACTCGTTAATATAGGCAGCCGAATACAAAACCCTGAGTAAAGAGCGTCTCTGTGCCGAACGACTGATTCACATACAGTGCATGTTGTTTGGATCCGGTTATTTCATCAGCTATAGATTTATTATATTACGGATAGGCTGTGCTTTATAGAAGCTTTTTACCATTGGTGTTTTGCTTTGCTTACTTATTTCTCACTTCATAAGCTAACAAAAAAGAGCTAGCCTCTGAAACAATGTAATGATACTCTGCCAGTGGTTACTGGAATATGCAATCGATTTGCAATCGTCTGTGGAGAAATGTAGAAACCCAATTCATTTGGAAGTAAAAATTAGAAGCTAACTTAACGTAGCGAGATGCCAAAGCGAAGTGAGCATGGAAAGTGAAGTCTTGCTTATGTTTAACTTCCGAAATGAATTGCCGACGTTACACAGTTTGCCTGCACAAAGAAAGTTAGTTATTTCCGAACCAAAAATATTATCAGGTTAAGAAGCTCCTGGTAGTGGCTTACTGCAGAGCTTTTTGATTGAATTTAAAAATATCCCCCTACATATAAACTTCTTCTCTATTTGTTTGAATCGCTTTAAATAGTTCTACCAACTAACGCGTGGATAGAGGTGTTACTATATCCACACAATGGGTCCATTTTAAATGCAGCTATACTGTAAATTCTTCTTTTATTTGAAGACTAGCAGATATAAATTGCGGCGCTCACCTACTTAACTTGCGTAGCAACGGTTAAGGCCGTACTAAACTCAAGAACAGTTTCCTTGTGATGAGTTCTAACTTAGGGTCGAATCCATTCTATACATCTTAGGCCGAAATACGCTACAGCAAGCAAACAAACTTGAAATGGCTTGACTCTGGAACAATGAACCAACTTCATAAATTATTATAGAACAACATCACTGCGACAATGTACGACATGGCTTTTAAACACATCCAATGCAAAGGCGGCATCTTGAAAGCCACACGACTGTCTTCGCTTGCTAGAATGCTGCTATAAGGCCTCTAAATTTTCAGCTTTGCATTTCTACTCGAATTTCAGACTGTTTTGTTGTGTCAGCCGCAAGCTGCCTGCAAAGCCTTAATATAAATATGCTGGCTTTGAATCATGTACAACAGACCACTGACGGACTTTTCAGTGATGGGTTGACCGCATGACATCCTATTGTAATCTGCCGTTAGTTGTAGACATGAATATCTGGCTGTCACTCTGGAAACTGCTGAAAAATACTAAGACGATACACAAGGAACGTGTACAACTTGTGTATTTGTCGAGGGTAAGCTTGACTTAATTTCCAAACTTTGTCAATCCGTAGTCGAAATATTCTATGGGAATAAAACATGGATTTTAACCTTTGTTAAATGGATTTAGGGTAAAGTGTTAGAACAAGGGATTTCCAATCACAATATTTTTTTATGCAGCTGATCCCGTTCCTTGTTTTTCCAGTGTCCTCCAAAATTTAGTTTAACATATAACAGCCATTAACGGACGCTTTTCTTTCATAGGTTTGCGTAGAACAGTTTTCCAAATGTCCTGAAAGCCTTCATTTATTTCAAAACAGTAGCTGTGACAAGATATAAACGCTGGTACGCATCTGATAATTCAGCCAAACTAAAAAAACATGAAATCCTTGGTTAACGTATTTCGTGTCGTATGTTTCCAATAAGATCTTGTCGTATACTGATTTCACAGCTCAAGATTTTTTTGCTACTTTTACCGCCAAATAAAATCAACACTTTCGGGTAAATAGAGGCAAATCCTCTTACTGTTTTGTCAATAAGCTACATTCTAAGACTTTTGTTATTACCGTCGTACACAGGATCCGACAACAGAAAAATGAATAATCTTCCTTTCACTTTTTCTGATTAGGATGTAAGCGTTAAGCGCCTTTAGAAACGAATTTTAACTAAAAGTAATCTTCCTCGGACGGGTAGAGCAGGTCTTATAGTTCATTATTAGCAACGTTAACACAAAACGCGCGAACGATAGCAATTTTCGTGAGGATATCAATGTCAAGCCTCTACAATATTAACAGATAGATGCCAACGCATATCAAGTCGATTTGGATTACCTACCCGGTAACGTCCGAGCGTGCCTGGGCGTCTTAGCTGTGAAACAGTGCTAATTCGTGAAACGGCTAACAGAGGGACCCTGAGACATAGTTGGTATGCCAACCGGGCGTAAACGGTGGTGAATAGTGACTGTCATGAGAGTATATTTCTCGTTCGGCTCTGCTGGGTCTCAATGATCGTCGCTTTCATTGGCTGAAATGTTATCGTCGCTAATTCGCTGTTTCTACTATATTAACTAAAACTGAGTGGTAACGGCAGCGACACAAAGCTAGCAAAATGTGCGCCAGCACTACGAATCGGCAAACGATGTTCCAAGCGGTCCCTAAACAGAGCCGCTGGGGGTTGCCACAAAATAACTAATATATAGTGGTAACAAACAATACGAAAGCGCTAGTTGCCCCATCCAGTAGTGGTTAGTGATGGTTGCTCTGAGCGTTGTGTAGCGGACACTTTATCAAAGATGGGGTGCTATATGGCCATTCTTTCTCAACATTCGCCATTCTTGTTCCAACCCCCCACAAAACTTTGCCCACAGGATTCACTTAAATAATCTACCGGTGGTGGGCCAGCAGCTGGGAATCCAAGCAAAAGTCCAATGCCAACAATTTTTTGATGTAAGGTATCACATGTAAGGTGTAACTTTACCGTAGGGCTAATGGCAAATTGAAAACGGTTGAAAGTTAAGGGTGAAGGAATACCTAACGTACAGTTCCTTTTTAGATTTGTTATGCTGCCAATTCTAAAGCAGTTTACGTCCACTCCTGTTCATGTAAACAATTTAGAATAAATATCTAATCTGAATAGATATTTATGGATTAATACAATTACACCACGCAAAGAAATTAACAGTTGGTGGTATTGACTATATTAAGGATCAGTTATCAAATCGATTATCTAAGGTCATTGAAAAGCATTTCAGTTCGGTGCCATACAGTGGTATCGTTGAATAAATGCAATTTCACACTAATTGAGCCTAGGTTTAAAACAAGCCCCATGGTACCTTAAAACCACCCTTAGAACAAATTAAGATAATCGTATTTTTTTCTACTATGATATTATGCATGGTCCTGAAATAGGAATAATGAACTAAATCACGGCTGTAAATATCCTCAACTAGCCCAAGCACGAAACTCTTAAACGTCTTACAGATGTTGGTGGTAAACATTCTCCCAATATTAAATACTCATCACTCCACCGCGTCGTATTTGAGTTATGGCAGTCTTCCCATACGAGCAGTTCCACACCCCATAAGGTACACGGTTAACGAAAGATGCACAGAGAATGCTATGTCGATTACACTCAAGTCACGACCGGCTCGTTTTCAGCCAATTAAAGTGATGCTTAGCTCTACCTAGTACCAGAGTGGCTATTATAGCCGTAATACTGTGGAAAAACAAAAGGAACAAACACTAAAGTGCACGCAAGCTAAAAACAGAAAAAGTCGTCTGCTAGCTGTAATCATACATAAACGTACATAAAGATAAATATCCTCTAGCTCAAAGGGATATCTCTTGCTTGGCTCCTTTTTACTGTCAAAACAGATTCTTTAGAGCTGGTTCGTATGTTCCATCTTGGTCGGACTTACTTTTTCCCTGCTTTTCGCCAAAGATAATTGTCTGTGACAGTGAATTAACAGCAGATCATTATGAATTCTCTAACTGCAAAAAGAAAAATGTTCCCCATAATAAATATACGAGTGCATGCGTTCGTTTTTATTACAGCAGTCGCACGAAAGCTGGATCAAATTAGGCGACTTTCACTGCGCTACCCCTGGATTGGTATGTTATTGCTGTACGCATGGACATACAGTCATTAAGAGGTCAGTTTGTGTTGACATTTAGCGGTGAGGCGGAACGGGAATCGCGCGATGGTTTGGATCGCTACTAGAACCAACGCTTAAATTCAACACTCACCAACAAACTCCTATAATAGCAGTAAACACAACTGACTTAACTCACGTGATTTAAGTCGAATAAAGGAAGATGCGTACTCAGCCTGGTTTTCGTTTACAGCCGTCGACAGCTACTGGTCAGAAAAAATTTTATTGTGTACTGGTGGCTCAGCTTTTATATAGAGCTGGTTGAACGTAATCACACTGTGAATAAATACATATGCTGGTGCTAATGTCTTATAATATTTACAGAGATCCGCTGATGTTAATCATGGAGAAAAAATGCTGACTCCAATTGCAAACCTTCCGCATATAGAAGTTTTATGGGAATCTCCGTCGGCCAATTTTCTATACTGAACAAGTACAAAGGTGAGTCACACTAAGTTCTTCACAGCCAAAGGACATTTTCGTTTTTTTTGGATGGAATGGAACTTAAAAGTTAACGTCTAAAAATTCACCTGTAGTAAGATGTGACAAAATTATATCAAAGGTTACACCTTGTTTTCGACCCTCGGATTGAACCGAGCGACCTAGTTAAGCTGATCTGACACTCAAGTTGTTCAATTAAACAAAATTTATTCGGAGAATTAGTCTTGAACATCGCCAAGGCCTAAGTGGCCTGCTTCTGCGTAATGATATAATCCACCACCACGTTACTATTTCTAGGCGCATAACTTATGTTTTACAACATAAGGCATTTTGACAGAGAAACCAACCTTTGAAAATATTACAAGTGAGAAAGACATGATGTTGATGTTTTCATAATATTTTTAAAATGTTTCTTAACTTCTTTCATCAACACAATAGCATAATAAGAATCCATTTGTGCTTCTCTAAGTGATTTTCAAATTTTCCGAATAATTTTGATGCAGTATTTTCCGTTTAATTCTTCACTGAACTCTTTTGGAATTTAAACACACCTTCTTTAAAACTTTCGAAATATATATGCGTTTGTCTTGTACATTTTTGGTTGACAATAGGTTTCACAGACTATGAAAATAAATACTTTATTGCTTATAGATAATGTTTGATGCATATTATTATGAAAAAAGCTATATATGTATATATATAATAATTTTTATCCACATTGGCGTATGTAGACATAGATATACCAAGCGATGGACACAGTCTTAAATTGTGGTTTTTTAGTGAAATGCTTCTTATAACAACATTTCCGTTTACATTCATCTCAAATCTAGTCGTTCGTTATAATTTTACGATATATCGTATTAACATACCATAGTAACGGTTACCATCTGGTTCGCTTATATTATATATGTTAAGCTTATTCCAGGAACATCTTTATTTAGGAATACACATTACTATCTCGTACTTGAAATGCTGCCTTTTAGTTTGATGAGACAATTGAATATCATAATACAAAATCGGGTGTCCTCGTCTAGGTCACAGAGGAAAGATTTGTTTTCAAAAAGGAAACAGCCAACTGAAAAAAAACGTTGCTTTATCATAGTTAATTCATATTGGTATATGAAAGTACTGGTCGACTACGAGCAAAAAGAACAATGCACTCGCAATTGCATTTTCACAGTTGTTCCCGTGACGACCACTGCACGCGTTCGATCCGAATCACTATGTTGATGCCATTATCCGAATTTACATTTTATCAAATGTCTTCGTTGACGTCCCCGTTTGTCTGACGACTCGTGTAGGAGAGAAACGAAAAATAAACGAAATTAATGGTGTGTATTTGTATTCGCATCCTGTTGGCTGATTTGCGATTCCTTTGCACGCAGCATCCAGTTTAACCTTTGATCCGCTACCATCAGCAGTGTCTCTGACAGTCATTTGACTTGCATTTGCCAAACACAAAAGATAACTAAGTAATCATTAGGAAAAATAATTTACGCCACACCGAATATCGCATAATGCTTATGAGGATGTAATAGCCGTACTTCTCTTGTTCGCCTCCGAAGTTGGGCTCATTTTAATCGTCGGATTGCCTTAAAGGTCTGTGCAGAGAAAAATGTTTTAACAACTTCTATTAATGAACGACAGCGCAAATAATAGCCGAACGGTCAATACTTCTGAAAAACAACCGACTGTTAAATCTGGTTTTAGTTACTTTTTTGATCGACGTTTCGTCATGCCTGGTTGTCTCCAGGCAGCAAGGGCCCCATTGCACGGCACTAGGTATCGGACAACCACTGGAATGGAGAGTCCCAAAAATTCTGCGACAGTTAGGACGACTTTGAGCTTTGGCTGAGGACTGATATCAAAGGATTTTTCGTTAAATGTAAAACGTTAACTTATCTTTATTGCGATAGACAGTGTTTCAATGGAGCGTGAATAAGTAAATATACACACACACACACACACACACAAGTGCTATATCAGTTGTGCGGATGAAAAAGTTTTTTTAAAATATAGTATGAATACGGGAGGCAAGGAAGCTATTTACTGACTTGTTATCATCAACAGGCTTTCGGACATAGAAAATGCTACTTCTGTTTTCATTGGTGTATTGAGCCCTACTTATTTCGACATTCAGAATTCTATCCTGACAAAGCTGTGTATCAACCAAGGTATAGATTCAAATGAGCGTAATTGTAGCAACCCTTAACTTTTTCTCTCGCAAATACTTTTTATTAAAAATATGGACATTGTCATTTAGCATCATCTTTTGTTCCCAAACAATATCGCTGACTTATAACACATAGAGTTATTACAACAGTAACAATCATATTTGTAACTTGACGCAATGGAATATTACCCTGCACATTGTCACGTTTTATTTTCCATACTGCTAAAAAATCCAGGCGCGTATTTCTTATTAAGGAAATGTAACATCGAAGTGAGCACGCACGGCGTAAATGTATTAACATGGGTATGATCTTACCGCGAATTTTGGCACAGAATTTATACGTTTTGAGCATAGCTAGCATTTGTGCTCATGTTGTTTGTTTTCGTGGATTATAAGAGCTACTCGTGAAGTACGTTCAAGACTATTTTATACTGATTGTCGTTGGTGCTTTTCTATTGGTTTAATGTCACCGGGTCTTCTACATTTCACATTTTACAGATTCCTTTACTTAAGCATTGCAATAGTTTCTGCGCACAGAGATCTTGTTGCACTGCTGGTGATTCTGCGTCCATTATTTGCCTTTTTGCTTTAGTTATTCCAACCACCTTATAGCAGACATAAATCTGTGCCATTTTATGGTTTCAGTGGTCCGATTACTTGAAGCGACATAGAGTAAAATATATGAATAAATGTAGCACTATCGACCTCCATCTTTTGGAAAAGTCTATATGACTCCGTGTTGTTTTTACATGACATACAAATACATACTGTATGTTGATCACCAGAAGAAATGTAACCAACTTTTTTATAAAAATAAGGAATTTACAGATCCACCCTAAGCACAAATTTATAAGGCTGGATGACACCACATTCGCTCTATCTCATTATTACATAGAATAGAGTGGTCTCAAAGAGCTTTTCTGCACTTCAATCGGAATAGCGGATACCCATGCCACCACCAAAGATATTTAATTCGAAATTGGCTTCACTTCAATCTATATATAATTTTCACAAAAACAGATCAAGAAGATAAAGTAAATATTTGATTTCAAGTATGTGCGTTTTTCATGTTCACGCAAGCAACGTAATATCATAAGACGCAATATACAGCAACTCTATGCTAAAAAGAGTATAAAAATATCAAGAAAGAATTTTGAAAACTTCAGACTGGAGTGAACGGCGTTAAAGATTTGAGGAACTCGTAAATGTGTTCAATATAGAAATATATATTCGAGTGAATCATCACTCTGCAAGAAATTGAAATATATATA